TCAGATGGACACTTTAAGCAGTACAAAAGGATGTGAAAACATTCAAATTGATTTGATAAATCCGAAGGAAATGACTCGAATCAATTAAATGCATTCGCGAAAATAAATTAAAAAAACATATCGATTTGGTGCTTAAGTGGTATTGAACGTTAAATTGTCATAAAATCAGTTGGTATCCCTACAATAAAACGTGGTTGAAAAAAAAGTAATGATACACCTTTTCAGAACTAAAGGCTTCATTCGACTGGGTCCAGACCAAGCAGAAAAAAAGTAAACACGATTTTGAGACTAAAACACGACAGAACTGTGACAAAAATTTTTGTATTGAGACAAGACAAACTGTCCACACCAGAAAGACAAAAACGTGCAACAAAATTTACTTGTTGGTTGATGCGAATCAGTTGCTTAACCATGCGGCGTTTTCAGAAATAAAATTCAAAAAATGAAGATTTATTGCTAGCCGTCAGCTGTTATATCTTTTTCTCATCTTCATCCAAAGTCAGAAACGTTTGAGTGAGCCCAAGCTTAAAAAAGCGAAAAAATTATTCCATAAATAATTTGTTAGTTCAGTTACGTGAGGATGATATTGGACTAAGTTGTGAGATTCGCTCAAGCTTTAAGAATTTTCTAAGAATTCCACCGATGATTTCGAGAATCTAATAGGCCTTGAGTCCTGCAGTTGCCAAAAGACCTACTAGCTTCAACACGACAACCGAACTACATTTCTGTGATTTTCCACTGATTGACACTGGTTTCCTACTGTTGTCAGCACACCCGTCCACAAGTCCACACTGCGCCGATAACTTGTAAAATACCTACCTACTTTATGATTTAGATTATGGAAAACTTTGGAAGGTCATAACTTTTTTACTATTATAGATAAAAAGCTGAAATTTTCACTGAATTTCATCCCACTAAAGGGACTACAATCCCTCAAAAATTCAGCTCATTGGCACTTATAGTTCCTGAGATAAAATGGTGTTAAGCAATTTGGGGTGATTTATCAATTTTTCAATTTTTCTGAGTGCCTTTTTTTTATAGATTTCGACTTCAAATATGAGAATAATTTAGTGTATGGAGTTTGGGGGGTTGTTAATTGACCATTAGGATACAAAATCTCAACATTTTTTTTTTTTGAAATTTCATCGTTTTAGTAAGAAGGTACCTACCTCGGTACCTACCTTATGATTTAGATTATGGAAAACTTTGGAAGGTCATAACTTTTTTACTATAATAGATAGAAAGCTGAAATTTTCACTGAATTTCATCTCACTAAAGGGACCCCCTGAAAATTTCAGCTCATTTGCATTTATAGTTCCTGAGATTGGCTGAGATGAAAACGTGTTAAGCAATTTGGGCTGATTTATCAATTTTTCAATTATTCTGAGTGTCTTTTTTCATAGATTTCGGCTTCAAATCTGAGAATAATTTAGTGTATAGAGTTTGGGGGATGGTAATTGACCATTAGGATACAAAATCTCAACATTTTTTTTTTTGAAATTTCATCGTTTTAGTAAGAAGGTACCTACCTTATGATTTAGATTATGGAAAACTTTGGAAGGTCATAACTTTTTTACTATAATAGATAGATAGCTGAAATTTTCACTGAATCTCATCTCACTGAAGGGACTATAATTCCTGAAAATTTCAGCTCATTTGCACTTATAGTTCCTGAGATAAAATGGTGTTAAGCAATTTGGGGTGATTTATCAATTTTTCAATTTTTCTGAGTGCCTTTTTTTATAGATTTCGACTTCAAATCTGAGAATAATTTAGTGTATGGAGTTTGGGGAATGTTAATTGACCATTAGGATACAAAATCTCAACAAAAAAAAAATTGAAATGTCCTCGTTTTAGTAAGAAGGTACCTACCTTATGATTTAGATTATGGAAAATTTTGGAAGGTCATAACTTTTTTACTATAATAGATAGAAAGCTGAAATTTTCACTGAATCTCATCTCACTGAAGGGACTATAATGCCTGAAAATTTCAGCTCATTTGCACTTATAGTTCCTCAGATAAAATCGTGTTAAGCAATTTGGGTTGATTTATCAATTTTTAAATTTTTCTGAGTGCATTTTTTCATAGATTTCGACTTCAAATCTGAGAATAATTTAGTGTATGGAGTTTGGGGGGTTGTTAATTGACCATTAGGATACAAAATCTCAACATTTTTTTTTTTTGAAATTTCATCGTTTTAGTAAGAAGGTACCTACCTCGGTACATACCTTATGATTTAGATTATGGAAAACTTTGGAAGGTCATAACTTTTTTACTATAATAGATAGAAAGCTGAAATTTTCACTGAATTTCATCCCACTAAAGGGACTACAATCCCTGAAAATTTCAGCTCATTTGCACTTATAGTTCCTGAGATAAAATGGTGTTAAGCAATTTGGGTTGATTTATCAATTTTTAAATTTTTCTGAGTGCATTTTTTCATAGATTTCGACTTCAAATCTGAGAATAATTTAGTGTATGGAGTTTGGGGGGTTGTTAATTGACCATTAGGATACAAAATCTCAACATTTTTTTTTTTTTGAAATTTCATCGTTTTAGTAAGAAGGTACCTACCTCGGTACCTACCTTATGATTTAGATTATGGAAAACTTTGGAAGGTCATAACTTTTTTACTATAATAGATAGAAAGCTGAAATTTTCACTGAATTTCATCTCACTAAAGGGACCCCCTGAAAATTTCAGCTCATTTGCATTTATAGTTCCTGAGATTGGCTGAGATGAAAACGTGTTAAGCAATTTGGGCTGATTTATCAATTTTTCAATTATTCTGAGTGTCTTTTTTCATAGACTTCGACTTCAAATCTGAGAATAATTTAGTGTATGGAGTTTGGGGGGTTGTTAACTGACCATTAGGATACAAAATCTCAACAATTTTTTTTTTTGAAATTTCATCGTTTTAGTAAGAAGGTACCTACCTTATGATTTAGATTATGGAAAACTTTGGAAGGTCATAACTTTTTTACTATAATAGATAGAAAGCTGAAATTTTCACTGAATCTCATCTCACTGAAGGGGCTATAATCCCTGAAAATCAGCTCATTTGCACTTATAGTTCCTGAGATAAAATCGTGTTAAGCAATTTGGGGTGATTTCTCAATTTTTAAATTTTTCCGAGTGTCTTTTTCCATAGATTTCGGCTTCAAATCTGACAATAATTTAGTGTATAGAGTTTGGGGTATGTTAATTGACCATTAAGATACAAAATCTCAACAAATTTTTTTTTGAAGTTTCATCGTTTTAGATTATGATTTAGATTATGGAAAACTTTGGAAGGTCATAACTTTTTTACTATTAAAGATAGAAAGCTGAAATTTTCACTGAACCATCACTGAACCACCTTGTTGTTGTCTCCCTCCGCTTCGCGACGGAAGGCAAGCCACATTTCGCTCTAAAATCTAATACTTTTTTCTCTTGTATGATGAATAACTATTATTAATGGGATGTTCCATCTCTCGGTGTTAAAGTTGCTCAATATATTGGGATATAGAATATCATCTATAACTCTTTGGAATGTAGCCGGCGCGTTTTTCAAACCAAAGGGCACGCGCAAGAACTCATAATGCCCGTCTTCTGTGCTGAATGCGGTTTTTTCAATGTCGTTTTCATGCATCTGGATCTAGTGGAAGCCGCTAGCTTAATCTAAGGTGGTGAAATACTGGCATCGTCCCAGCTTCTTCAAGAGATCCGTTATGTTATACTAAACAAAAAAATATTCAAACTGATTGTCAAAGTGGGTATAGCAAAAACAACATAAACATAAAACACACAAGTTTGATATAAAAATAAATAGTTAGGAATGTTAAGATCAGGAACTCAATATTTTTGTATCTGTGAGTAGGTCACTACACCCAATACATACAATGCCAAAATCACGGAGCCCCCATAGCAAATTCACTACGGGGGCTCAAGCCTCTATTGCCCCCATGTTTCTGGCGCCTATGAGAACAAGTTTGCATTAAAAAAAAAACTAGTCGACAAAAGGATGAGATTGAATGTCAAAAGTTCATTAAATACAAAAGTGCGAAATACGGCAAATTTTAGAGGCAAGAAAAAAAGTATAGCAAATAAGAAAACAGTAAAGGTTGATGGTGAATAGGATCAAAGCCGAAACAAGAATGAAAGGACAAGTCTTCTAAGCGATGGGAGACGAAATACAATAAGATATGAAGAAACCAACAAAATGATACAAACAACTCCCAAAAAAAAACCAACCCCTTATCCTTGATTTTTTAATTTATTTCTCATTTCTCTTCTTATACATCTCTATAGTTGTAATCTAATCGCTACAAATTTGCTACAAGCACGACAACGTTAACAAAGAAAGGGTCAGGTGTTTTTCCTCCAAGGAAAGGAAAACGATTTTAGACTTAACTGTGGATGAGTTGAAGTTGAGATAAGGGTTTGATGCAAATTTGAATATTATTGAGAACCATTTGTAATCGACAAATACAAGGTTCTGATTTGTTGCGACTTAAGTAAGAACTTTACCAACAACATTTTGAATTGACCACAGTTCAGAAATCTCCATTGAATATTTTGCTTACTCTTCAAATTACTCAGGGTCTTCTGAACCATTTCACTAGGTAGAAGAAGTTTTATTTTATTATAAACCTCTTCAAAACTATAATATTTGACTGAAAACAATATTGACAATAATGAGAATAAATTGACAATAATGCCGTAATATTCGATAAACTAATAACTTATTACTCCTATAGAAGAGAGTTCATAAAACACACAATTATAGTATTTTCAATTTGAATTGAAACACTAAAAAAACATCTGAGCCGTTTTCTCGCATCCACTTTTTTCACATTGGTTCAAAACCAGTTTGAAACAGTCATAGTGGAAACACCATTGCCCGTTTCAAAGCTATTTTGAACCAATGTCAAAAAAGTGAACGCGAGAAAGCGGCTTAGATGTTTTTCAAGCGTTTCAATTCAAATTAGAAATACTATATCTACAAATACAAACAAAATATTAAATAAACAAAAAACAAATTTATTTGAAATGTTTATACAGAATTCAATTTAGAAATTGTTGACTATATAAAATAGACTAATTAATCAAAAGAAAATAAAATTCTGTTTAAGCCTTAATAAAATATACTTAAACGCCAATAACTAAGTAAGTACTTACGTATTTTAAAAAATATAAACTTTGGCATACAAAAATGTACAAAACAACTACTTAATGTTAATATCTTTGTTAAAAATTTTCTATACCTACATATAATTTTCTCATAAATTTAAACAAAATATTCTCTTGCTTCACTTTGACTTTATATGCCTACCTACTAAATCCGTTGACTAAATGACCTAAAAATTGTTTTTTTTTTGTAAAAATATTTTCTGAAGTAGGTAACAAATACACACACTTTAAGGCAAGATAATTTACATTAAATAACAAATATTATTCAAATAAATTATAAAATCTACTGTACATACATACATAAAAAAATACAAAAAAAAAAAAAAAATTGTCACTAATGTAACTCAGTCTCTTCAGCACCATCAGTTTCAACGTGATATCTAACTTGATGAGGAGACGACGACGTGATCACGCGAGCGGCATGTTCTTCTTCGTTTGTCATTATCGGCTGTAGAGGAGCCACGCTACAATTAAAAACTATTTATATTATTTATATGTACTGATAAATTTTCTACTCACTTACTTTGCCATTTGTCTGCCCAAATGGTCGGCGGCGTTTTGAATTTGCGGCGGTCTGTGGTACTGGGTTTGGTACACGGCGGTGTGCGGCAATTGGTACTGGTCGATCGGGATTTCTTGGTCTTGGGAGATGTTTTGGTAGTAGATGGCTTGGGTGTCTACAAGAAAATTATATATTTTGTATTGATTTATATTTTTTTGAATCACTTAGTAATGGTGAGATTTGATAAGTTTTTATCCTGCAGCAAGAGTTATGTCAAGGAAAAAACAGCCTTTCCTCTTTGTTTCATCCTCAGAGATCATTTAAAAATATCAGGAAAAAGATGGAAATAAAGAATGAAGGCTTTCATGTCCGGTCAAATCTAGTAAACAAGTTTTTTTCCAGGAGAAAATACGCAATGAAACATCTAGAATTCTACGACTAGCGAAACCTCCAAAGTGCAATCTGACATACGAGGAAAGGAAAGCTACTCGCAGCCTGAATACAGACAAGAACATACTAGTCCTGCCTGCGTATAAAGGAAACGCAATGGTAATAATGAACGTGAATGACTATGAATAAAAAATTTCTGAATTGCTAGACCCCTCCACCTACAGAAAGCTGAAGTGCAATCCCACTGCTTCTATATGCGAAAAACCAATCAACTCGTCCGGGCACTACCGTTTGACCCGGATAACATAAGGAAACTCATCAAATCTGAGGCCTTTCCACCTAGAATATATGGGCATCCGAGAATTCACAAAACAGGTAACCCACTCAGACCCTTTGTAAGTGCAATAGATTCGCCCACATACAGCATAGCCAAATACTTTACCACTCTCCTTCAGCCACGGATTGGCCAATCCAGCTCTTATGTTAAAAACTCCACTCAATTTATCAAAAAGATCAGTGACATCAGTCTACTACCAAACGACATTCTGGTTAGTTTTGATGTCGTCTCGTTGTTTACCAATGTACCAGTGAATCAGGCTTTAGAATAATTGAAAGATGTTTTCCGGAGGAAATCAACACCTTATTTCACCACTGTCTGACGACTACGTACTTCCAATGGCAAAATGAATTCTTTGAGCAGACAGATGGAGTCGCAATGGGGAGTCCCCTCAGCCCGGTTATCGCCAACTTCTACATGGAACACTTCGAACAAAATGACACTGCGAACGGCCACAAAAAAACCTACTTGTTGGTTTCGCTATGTAGATGACACTTTTGTTATTTCGAACCATGGACAGGCAGAGCTCGAAAACTTCCTCTAAACTCGATAGAATTCACGATACAGTTTACGATGGACGTGGAGAAGAACAACAACATTGTAATCCTCGACGTCCTCTGAGAAAGATTACCTTGGAGTAAACTGGGACACAGAGTATATAGGAAGCCGACGCATACGGACAGATACATCAATAAGGAATCTAATCACCATCCTAAGCAAAAGAGAGGAGTCATTAAAACTCTATCTGCATGACAGGGCAATCCGGATTTATGAACCAAGATACCTTCAGAACGAAATTCAATACCTAAAATCAGTACTTGAAGGAAATGGGTACTCCAAGCAGGAGATAAATAGAGCTATAAGACCAAAGCAACAGCGCACAAATAATAAAGAACCAGCCAAGGTGGCAGGGAGAGGCTTCCTTCCCTACATCAAAAATGTCACAGATCGCATAGGACGAACGCTAGAAAAACACAACACTTAGGCACATCTACAAGCCCACAAGAACAATTCAGCAAAGTCTAAGATCGGCCAAGGATCCTAGGGCACCTCTTGAAACGGCTGGCGTCTATAGAATTCCTTGCTCTTGTGGATCTGTCTAAGTAGGAACAATCAAACGCTCTATCAACATCAAGGTCAAAGAGCTGTCAGCAGGGACAAATAGATAGATCAGATCAGCAATCGCCGAACACGTGCTTACACAAGCAACCAATGTCATTCGTTTCGACCAGACTCAGGCATTGAATAGAACCAAACATTTTTACACCAGACTCCACAGAGAAGCCATAGAGATACAGAAACACCACAACATCTTCAACAGAAAAGAAGAAGGCATGAACCTTAACAAAAGCTGGTTGTCAGTTCTCCGAAAAAAAAGACCCTTTCTTTCCGAGAATGAGACAAGGAAATAAGCGTAATACAAGCCACGCCCACAACCCTGGATATAAATAACGCATGTCCAACGCCGTCGAATCCAGTCATCGGAGGAACACGGAAGAGAACACCTCGTCCTCTACCACACAGCCTCTGAAGTGCAGCAGTAGACGAAACGTTAGGTAGAAATATTACTCGACCACGGCATTATAGCCCGGAAAAAAACTTTTTTCACTAGAAAAGGTGGAAAGATAGCAGGGTGATGGAGCGACGATAACTGTGCCTCAAAAGAGATCTGTCAAACCAATTATCTGTGGAAATGGGAAACCCTGACACCACAAGGCAGAATTCATTAATTTACTAAAGTCACTGAGCCCTACTGGTAGGGTGCTTTTCTCATTTGGGCTCTTCGAAAACCAATACAACCATCTTAAGAATTTATCCCTGAAAGGAAATCCAACTAACTTAAGTTGAGTCAGTAATGAAAATTCTGATGTAGACGTTTTCCTCTTCATTAATCTTTCAATGTAAGTATCTGGAAAGAAACCAAGTTCAAACAAAAAATATATCCAAAAAATAAGATAAAGGGGACAGTCTGCTAGCTGTAACAAAACTTCAAAAGAAACCCCATCTTTCTCAAAAGATTTTCTATGATTCGTGAGCAGAATAAGTAGGAGAATTATGCAGTAAATATGGATTATTATGACGATTGACAGTAAAACGGTAAGACAAGATTGGTACTTTCAGGGTTAATGACGGTAGTGCTAATATCTTCGGAGTTTAATAAGTCCTCAGGATCTGATCCCATCAACAGTTCACTTTATATAGGTGAGGTACTATATTTTAATACGTACCTATCTCAAATACATATTTCAAAATGATCGGTATTTAATAATAAGGTGCTACCATGTACTTTGTAATACAACATGTAAATTAATTTCAACTATTTGTCCTATACTGGCGCATTCGTAATTTTTAATGTTCAGATCCTAGCATATTGGTGAAGGTAAATTGGTTTTCTTCTGTCAAAATATACGCTTGAGAAAAGTTGTTTATGCTTATCTATTTATTAAGTTGATTTATGGAAACACTTAGAAATTAAATTATTAATAAATTGTTATATTAGAAACGGAATGTAATAATTCTTTCGAATTGATTACCGACATCCTAAGGGTAAAGTCGTCTACCTACCACGGACAGTACCGATTTCTTTGCTGTGAATCTGTATAGGGTCAAGCTTGAACAATACGTTTTTAGTCATGCCATCAGATTATGAAATACTGATGGAAATATCCTATTTTTCGAGACTGTAACATTTAAAACATCATCATGTTCCAATACTGAGTCGAAGCCCAATAAAAATGTTCCAGTTTGCTCATCATCAGAAAGCGAAATAGAATTAACTGTAGGAAGATAAGTGTATGAAAGACGGAGACTCTCCAGATTATTTGAGTAAGGAACTATTTCCATTTTTAATAAATTTATTAGGTAGGTAGGTACTTCACCATTTTTTTCACTAAATACCTTATTTCTAGTCTGTAATTTCTTAATTTTCTGGCTTATTGACTATTTGCACTACATCTTTCCATCCTTGATTTGTAGTACCTACATGAAAGTTCTTGTTGATAGTCCATCAAATTTATTCACATAAAATTTATTTTAAAAACTATCCAGCAAGCAACGGTAGCAATCTCCTTCTAAAGGCAACAATAGAAGGACAAGAAAAGATGTCAAAACTCTGGCTCCTTGAGCTGGCAAACCTGAGCAACCTCGAGATCTACTCATTCATATCATAAGGTCAGAACCTCTTTTCCTTCTTTCTCCTGCTCTCAAAGAAACGAGACCAAAAAGATCTGAGCAGTCAATTAAACCTCTAAAAAATTTGTAAAGGAAAGAAAGATCCGCCTGAAGTCTAATGCTTTGCAAGGTATGAACACTCAAGAAAGCCCTCATCCCGTAACAAGTATACTCACTATGAGCCAAGCCCAATCTGTAAGCAGCCACCCTTAAAAATCTATTCTGAACCCTTTCCAGAGCTGCATATTGGGGTGACCAAAGAACCGATGAGCAATCCAACATGGATCGCACCATCGCGCACTTTAATGTTCGCAATGTACTCACAGACATATCAATAGTGGACCTACATATTATATAAAGCCCACACATCTAACAACCCTTAACAGAGTATTGGTGATATGGCTATCAAATGATATCTTGGAGTAAAATTCCACTCCCAAGTCACGATTGCTTGCTACTTATTCCCTGATTGATGTGTTATAAATTGTGTAAGGAAAGGACCCTGCCCAAAGTATACGGAAATTGTGTTTATGTCAGAATTGGGTGAATTTTGTATGTAATGTAGATCACGCCTTTCCGATTAAAAGTTACCATTGCGCCAATCCTGAAAAATTACTATACGTAGCACACCATTGCGCCACAAGCTTACCTATTTGTGTTACCTACATTGTATGTACTTGAACAATAACTTATTATATAAAGTCAGAATTTGTAAAATTATCCACTTTTTGTCAATTTGTCTTTCAACAGGAATTAGTAATGTTACTTTACCAAAGTAGTAACATAATGTGACAAGTTATTCAAGTACAAACGAGTGGATTGTTGCGGAATTTATTAGTGGCCCTCCTCCGCAGTCATCTATTCATTAATACGTTGTTCAAGTACGATAGTAACCTGACTCACTCAAATGTCAGTTATTCTCATTAGTTCAAAAACTACGAGTTTCAGGTGAGTGTCTTATTTGAATAGTTCAACAGTATATTGGTGAGTAGATGGTTGCGGAACTCGCTGCGCTCGTCCCACAGAGGTCCACCCATTAGTTCCGCAATAATCCACTTGAACTTGAACAATAACTTATTATATAAAGTCAAAATTTGTAAGATTATGATTATTCACTTTTTGTCAATTTGCCTTTCAACAGGAATTAGTAATGTTACTTTACCAAACTAGTAACATAATGTGACAAGTTATTCAAGTACAAACGAGTGGATTGTTGCGGAATTTATGAGTGGACCTCTGCGGGACGAGCGCAGCGAGTTCCGCAGCCATCTATTCATCAATATGTTGTTTGATTACGATACTAAACTGACTCACTCAAATGTGCGTTATTCTCATTGGTTTAAAAATTACACGTTTCAGGTGAATGTCTTACTTGAACAGTTCAACAGTATATTGGTGATCAGATGGTTGCGGTAGTAGTACGATAGTAACCTGACTCACTCAAATGTCAGTTATTCTCATTAGTTCAAAAACTACGAGTTTCAGGTGAGTGTCTTATTTGAATAGTTCAACAGTATATTGGTGAGTAGATGGTTGCGGAACTCGCTGCGCTCGTTCCACAGAGGTCCACCCATAAGTTCCGCAACAATCCACTTATTTTTACTTGAACAATTACTTATTATATAAAGTCAGAATTTGTAAGATTATCCCTTTTTTGTCAATTTGTCATTTAACAGGAATTAGTAATGTTACTTTACCAAACTAGTAATATATTGTGACAAGTTATTCAAGTACAAACGAGTGGATTGTTGCGGAACTTATGAGTGGATCCAGCCATCTATTCACCAATATGTTGTTGAAGTACAATACTAACCCGATTCACTCAGTTGTGAATTTTTCTCATTAGTTCAAAAACTACACGTTTCAGGTGAGTGTCTTATCTGAACAGTTCAACAGTATATTGGTGAGTAGAGGTCCACCCATAAGTTCCGCAATTATCCACTCATTTATAAATAAATAAATAAATAAATAATTATTTATTGCATAAATCACAAAGAGTACAAGGACGCTAGACGCGTTTGTTAGCTTACACTCACCTAACCTAGAACCTTAAAACCTAGAACCTATAGTCTGGCTAGCCAAACGGCGAACTCAAAAAGAATTTGCTGCTATGCCAAACTTGACAGAAACAATAATAAACAAGTCGGTGACATATTTTTTTTTGCAATATGGGCCGTGTAGTATTTTGAAATAGGAAAAAATCCGGCAACATTACGAAATGAAGGAAGCGGAGAGGCGTGATTATTCAGAGGCATGATTCTATTGGTTAGAGCCTGAACGACAGCACCAGTGGCGTGGTTATTCGTGAAACTCAAGAATTTTTTTCCTAATAATTTTTTGATTTATTTCCTTGGTGTTTTCGGTGCCACTGAACCCAACGACATGGTTGTCATCAGGCGGTGTCAGTTGAGGTGTCAGTGAATATTCTTAGGTCACGCCCCACTTTTCTTCCCCCTTTCGTCTCTACCAAGTTACCACTTGCCAAACTATACATACAGCCATAGCAGTAAAGCTAATTTATAGCGAAATAATTATTATTACAGACATATTCTTTGAGTTTTACCCTAAAGCTCAAATTGCTTTGAACTTGGGAAATCTCAGCAGGTAGCATCTTATACGCTTTTGCGGCCCAGTAAGGAAAAGCTGCTTTGAAAAACTCTGTATTATGCTTTGGAATATTTATGAGATTTCGATTGCGTGTATTTAGCTCATAAATATCACTACGATGCTCAATCATATTAAATAAATATACTGGTATTCCAGTACTTAAAATCTTATGCACTAAGTTACACATGTGCATAAGACATCTCTGATCCATTTTTGTTTTATATAGGTGCTTCAACAATATGCTGGCTAACATGCTCCCTGCAAGGAAGGCATTTAACATATCTGACAGTTCTGTATTTTTTGTATTCGGTATCTATTATATGCTGTTAAATAAGGTCCATATACACAATTGAGATAATTTGGTATGGACTGAACCATACAGTCAGTGAGAATCTTTTTTGTTTGTGTGGGCAAAAGATTCCTATATTCACACATCATTTAAGCCTATAAAATGCTCGTAGACAGATGTTATTTACATGATTATCATTACTCATACATTCATTCATATATAAACCAAGATCACTCCATCTAATGATCACATTATCAACTCTTACATTTAAATTATCCTTGTCAATTTATGTATCTACGTTCACGTTCATTACAATGTCCAAGCATTTTACTTGCTAGCTATGAAATTAATTTTCTCAAAAAGGAATCATTTTTCAGGATTGGTGCCAATGGTAACTTTTAATCAGGAAGGCGTGATCTACATTATATAAAAAATTGAGCCAATTCTGACATAAACACAATCTCCGTATACTTCGGGCAGGGTCCTTTCACCGTTTGGACTCACTTGGAAAAAGTTATCTTATAATCATTTGGTTCGAGCCACACTGACATACACCACTTATCAAAAGAATCGATATAATCTTGCAGTAGTTGTGGAGTCTTCAAATGATGATATATACCTGATGATAAAGTTTAAGATCGCAAATGAAAAAAATGAGCTGTGTGTAATGGAACTACCAACATCGGATATGAACAGCTTGCACTGGATTGGCCCACAGTGAGACCCCTGGGGTACGCCAGAAGGGACATCAAAGACACGAGACACAACATCGCCATACCTAACCCGAGTTCTCCCAACAAAAAATTCAGCAAACCAATTCAGAATTGGACCTCTCGAACCCCCAAACCACCAAGCTTCCTAATGAAAAGTCCGAGTATAAAGAATCAACCTGGAGCCCCCTCTTCATGCTGTTAAAGATAAAACACTGTTTTTGTTGATGTCAGTCTACCCACCGTAAGCCCATGATGTTCCGGATTTAAAATGTACCCACAGTTCCAGTTAAATTTCCTGGTAATGAGACAATCCAGCAACTTATGAATCTCAGATTGCCTGCAAACAGCCCTCTTCTCTTGACCCGCTTTTAAATATTGGTTTCAAAAAGCTGAAGTTCCACAAAATCGAGTAAGAACCTCTGAGAAGTCAGGCCAGGACTCAAACTTTGATATTACCATATAGCTTGATTTTTTCACATTTAAACTAAGTTTGTGGTAATAGAGCCAATCGCTTATTTTCTGTACCTACTTAAGTCTTTTCAGTGATTATTTTTAAGTTAGCAGGGTCCTTGTCAAAATAAGTGATGCAAGTATCATCTGCATATAAATTGAGAGAGGTATGTATGACAGTGAAATTCTTGTAGACTATGAAGAGTGTCGGTCCCAGAATTGAGCCTCCGTGCATACAATGTTTTCCATTTTACTTCTGTTACCTTCACATTCAACATACTGTAGCCTGCCCGATAGAACGTCCCTAAACCACAGTAGTACTGAACCTCCAATACCAGTTTTTTCAAGCACTAACTTCTTCTACGGGTTCTTTTTTGTCTTGCTCTTGGACATTTTCAATTCAAATATCTCGTAAAATCATTTCATTATTTATTTTTTCTCCAAATAGGTAGGTATCACATTTCTTTCATGGACCATATCATAGGTACCCCAATTTGATTTTATTAACCAACATATTCACGAATTCACGTTGACCCACCATCAAACTTTGGAACATAAAATAAACTTGAAACACTACAAATCGTTCACCGTTGAGGAGTTATCAATACTCTTTCAAAAAGCGTCAAGATAGTTAGGTATACAAAAAGGAGTGGAAAAGATGTTAGTTGCACTAGTAGCAGGTGTCATCCAGCAGAACCAATTCCAATTTGGGTTCTTCTGCTGAATGTCGAGTAAAAAGAAGGTTCTTTATGGTAAGTTGGATGACTAAACAAAGTCAGAGGTAACCACAAATTAGAGATTCCATAGAGAAATTAGGTAAGTACAGATACTTTTCTCTTGTTCTTGAAGCAAGTGCCAATGGACCTAATAGTGTTCCAATAATAGCTTCTGGAACTGCTTCTGTTGCCACCTATGAATACATTAGGTACTTTTGGTTTAAGGAATGCACAATCTGTTTTTCAAAAATTTGGGCTACATAAAATACAAATAAAACTAAGAGTGAATTTGGAGAACCAACGAAAAGTACTATTAGTTCATCCTGGATTGATTTTAATGAAAGTACCCGTACTCCAGCTTGTGGTGTGTGGCGACAAGGTTATCGTTATTGTTGTGAATTTCAAAGGATAACGAACAGAGGAAAAAGGACGTCCTATCAAATTTTAATAGAGAATCACCAAATAAAAGTACAGAGATTTTCCGGAGGAATTCAAACAAGATGATATTAGATTTGAATATAAGTGTTTGTTGTTGTGAGAGAAATAAGTCAATTTAGTCATAAGTATCTGCACTTTGAATAATCAATCCAATGTAAGTTTTATTGTTGTATATTGCGCAGCGTGAATACCCTCGAGGTACCTACTTAACCAAAAAAATGCAACCTTTTAAAACAATCTGATAAAACCGAATTTGAGAAAGCATAATTTATTCTCAAAAAGCTTTCAATTTTCGATTTTAACCTTCTCAATACAACAAACATTTTCAATACTTAGTTGTTGCCCTAATAAAATACACAAAAATTACCTCGCCGTTGATGGCTGACACCTTATCTCCCCCCAATGTCTATATAATAATTATTGTACTTCATTCACTATTTACTTAGCACTTCAATTTTATCTAAAAATATATTATTTAATCTATCTTGGCGCGTTTTTGTAACAAAATTGTAGCTGTCATTCGATTCGCACGTATGCACAATAGGTGTTTTGGAAAATTGAAAATTGCCCAGGCTTTCAATCAAAATCAAGGTAGTACAGGAAGGACCACAAAATTTTTTTTCGAAAATGATCCATCTTATTGTAGAATGGATCGCCACAGAGCATTCCAATATGAAATCAAATTGGAAAATTCGGAATATTTTACTCATAATTGTGAAAAGTATTGAGAAAACGCAAATGGAAAGAGGTGTAGTGAAAGTTTACCCATTTTTAAAGATATTGATACTTACTGCTTAATCGTTGAGGCATGCCAGAAACTCCAGCTCCATTATGAACAGAAGAATTGTTTTTCGGTCGTCTCTTCCTAGTCTGGATTCCTTCTTTTTTCATACTTATTGGCCGATTTACCTAAAAGCAAAGACGTTTTTAAGTCAACCCCGAGTGGTATTGAATCGGTACACAATGTCGCAATATTTAATTTTAATTTAAAACAAAAACCTCGTAAAAGGCTCACTTTTGTGTCCCAGTAAAATGTGCAATATATTCCTAATGTTGACAATGGGATTTAGACTGTACTGTATATATGGTTAATTTTATACTAACGCGTAATCCCATCATCGTTAAATGACGACGCAAAAGTTTAGTGTAAATAGGCGTAGAGTAGAAAATACACAAAAGAACCAAATCCTGCCATGTTTATTATACTCTGGTGATTATGTGGCAATTATAACGGTCTCCAAAATATTTTTCATAGACTAACTCTAGCCGGTCATATGATACAAAGAAACTTCAACTCTATTTTACTTGCACACCTTCACATCGTTTATATAAGTGAAAAACTAAATGAAAATTATTATCACTTGTAAGACCAAAACATCAGATAAAAGAGCATCATCATCATCATCAGCTGATATAGAATATCTTATATTTACCAGAGATTTTTTGTTGTCGTTGTGCACATTATCAACCCCAAAAACTGATACCATATTATCATTCCCAAGATATTGTATCATTATTACAAACATTGGTGGGCATATCTTAGATTATTTTTGCGTGGTATTATGCCAAGCTGTCTGGTGTAGGTGGGATTACTTTTTTTTTTGGGAAAAATTGATAATATGAATATATCAGTCAGATAATGTTAATATCTTTTCATATGATATCATATGTGGACTTACCCCATGCAATTTGAAATAAAGCCCGCAAGCATTGCAAACAGGTTCTCCTTGGTTGTTCCTTCTCCATAGAGTGGTGTTCAAAGTTTTACAGTTGGCACATGCCACCCCATTCCTTCTATTGTTAGCCTGGAAATAATTTATTACATTTTATGATTCATATATTGTTGCTTAATCCCTGCAATAACATGTTTTGAAATTTGAGATTAGTGGAAAATTGATGATTAATATTTTTTACGACAACTTCATCATTTTATATAATTTCTTCCTTGAAAGTTGCGATACATTTTTCCAAGGTAAACGTACCTCAATTTTGATCATCGACATCGATCTTATCATTTATTGTTATTGACACCGTATTGACAGTGGAGTGAGCAAACACCCATACATTTTGATGATATCACTTTTTGTGTACCCAAAGTAAATGGGTCGTATTTGCTTTTAAACAAACTTTGGAGATAAAATTTATATTTTTGGGTTCTGCATTTAGCTGCACCGCCTTAAAACTGTACTTTGGCATGGAAAAACTATCGGGTTCCACAGACCCCCAATAAATAATTGTTTAGCAAACAAGCCTATTTACTTTTTTGAAAATTTATTAGGCTAAAAAATGCGGCTACGGATACAATTTTGCTCGAGAATTTCCTACAGTATGGCTTTGTTCATCGAATTTTTGAGGTTATTCACTTAACAGTTTGTGTCTGAAAACTTTCTGCATGCTGTTTAGTTAGAGGCATCGGTTTGTAGATAGAACATCCTGTCGAAATCAGGTGCAGTAAGAATTGGAGCAGTGACTAAACATTTTTGAGTAATGTGAAAAATTTCTGGCAATCTCGAGTCCAGGTAAATTTAACGTTCTTTTTAAATTAAGAATGGGTGCTAACACCGAAGAAAATTCTGGGAAAAAACGCCGATACCAGGAAGCAGTTCCCACAAATCTGCGAACTTCATTGATGTTTTTCGGTGGTGTAATGTTGACTATACCCTCAGTCTTTTCTGGATCAGGGCGTAACCCTTTCTTATCAACCAGATAGCCCAGGTATTTTAATTCTGGCATGCAGAAGTGACATTTCTTTAACGAAATAATGAGTCCGGCCTGACGCAAGCGGTCCTCCAAAAGTTGCAAATGTTCTGAAAAGGAGTTAGAAACTATCACCACGTTATCAATGTAGCACATGACATTCGGTTGGAGTTCTGAACCAAGGATAGTGTCAATGATTCTTTGCCAGGTTGCAGGAGTATTAGATAAGCCAAATGGCATCCGACAGAATTGGAAGAGTCCTCTGCCAGGGACAGTAAATGCAGTGTACTCCTTGGAAGATGTACTCAAAGGGACCTGCCAAAATGCTGACTTAATATCGATGAAACTGATATATCGAGTCTCCCTTAACCGCGTCCTTTTTTGTATATTTATTGACCTGTCTTAAATCGATGCAAAATCTGAAAGATCCATCCTTTTTCCGAGCAAGGCACACAGGACTAGACCAAGGACTACTAGAACGCTCAATGACTCCTAACTTCAACATTTCCTCAACTCAGTCATCTATAAACTTTTGTTTGAAGGGAGAAACAGGGTAATACCTTTGTTTTAGGGATCTTGTACAAGGATCTATAATGATTTCATGCTCAGTTACCTTGCAGCAACCGAGTCCAGACACCATTTCTGCAATTTTCTGTTCTACCAGGGTGTCTAAAGCAGATCGTTCTGACGGAGTTTCACCAGCAGACCCAGAAAAATTCCAAACATCTTGTCTAAGATCTGAGATAATTTTCATGGTTTTCCAGAAGTCTATTCCAAGAATAATTTCATGTGAAAGTTCAGGAAGCACACCACTACATCAATAATGTGAGTTTTGTCCATGAAAGTTATGGGTGTCTGAATGTAACCTATACTCTATACTTGTGCAAGTTTGGCCATTAGCCACAATGCAAGAATTTTGTAGTTTTACCAACTTCAAACCTAAGCTCAAAAGAGTGTCATATCCAGGCCACCCAACCAGAGTACGACTAGCACCTGAGTCAAGTAGACCTAACATAGGATATCCCAATATTTTAATTTCAAGGTATGGATGCTGATCACCTTGCGCATGTGATATAATGTAGTCAAAAAGGTGCCTATTACCAAAATCATCAAGGTTATTGGTCGCTGGGGTGTGTAGGAAAGAAATCTCGCGACCTAATGATTTACCCTGGGACCGTTTCCCGAGCTACCACATTTAGGATAATTCCTAACTGTGACGTTAGGGTTACCACATCGATAGCCATGGGTTTTCCCAGGGTTAAGACAATCTCTGTTTAAATGACCGGATTTCTGGCAATTCCAACAAATTAAATTGGGTGAATTACTTGGTGGTCTTGAAGTTTGAGGACTATTGTTTTCATTTTGTAGTCCATTTTGTCTAGCAATCAATACGTTAAGTAATCAACAATAACGATAAAGATAATTGGCTATTATACACAGGGGTTCGAAATATCTGTTACTCAAAAATAATTTTAAAAAAAGTTTAAAAATGGAAATTGAAATTTGATTCTATGCACTTAAAACAGCCAAAAGAAAATGAATACAAATGGTCTTAAAAAGAAACGGCGGCCCCGCGTTGGGCGCCAATTAATTTGCCACGCTTTTTCGGTGAATAAACAGTTTTAGAAAGAAATAATAAAAGAAAAATAAAAAAAAATAAATGAAATATAATTTAATGAAGAACTTGATTTGTTCACATGAAGATTGATTTTGAAATGGGGTAAAAATATTGATTAAAATCGAGGAAAATCATTAGTCATCACATATTGAAAATTAGAAAATTTACACGATCTGCAATTACTGTTATTATTGTTGAATTTTTATAGAGGAAAATGTAAACAAATTTAAAGGAATTTTGAGTGGAAAACTGAAAATAAGTAAGAAATAGTTAATGTCAATTTTGGCACGTCACAAATGGATTTGGAAAATATGCTCATAATTCTTCTGTGTAAAGTATTTCTACTAAGAGTTTGGGTATCCTGAACGTCATTAACAGAAAGATGGACGTTTAATGATATATTTTCAACAAATTTTGAATTACCTCCTGGCGCGACCTTTTAATATGTTCAATAATAATTCAACTGCATTTTTTTCTACAAATAAGCGCAGACATTTGCGATCAATTTCGAAGATGATTGAGAAGTTTCTATACAGCAAATATTTTGATTGGTGATATATAAAACTAAATACTTATAAAAAAGAAAATCATATGCAGAAGTGTGATGCAAGTATAGGTTTGAGACAGCAGGTGCGGTTTAATGTAGTGAGATCAATTCAAATTCATTTAGAGCTCAAAGCTGCCCCAAACTTAAACTTGTCGCACTCTACAAAAACATTCAAAGGACGACACAACAAATAAAAAAACTGAGTGCGAATTGCTGAACCTGACAAAAAAAACATTTCACATAATCTAAAAAAGAACAGAACATAAAACTGCAATTTTGATGTTCTATTCCTTTCAAATTGAAAACACGAACATCAACCCCATGGACACATGGGAACACCACGTACGGAAATCAGACTTACCGCCTGCGGTTTTTTGCTCGGCCTGATCGGCGGTCGATTCACACCATTAATTTTGTTATAGAGACCGCACGCGTTGCACAGGTAGTGCCCCGTACCGTCTCTGCGCCAAAGGGGTGTGACACTCGCGCCGCAATTAACGCACTCTTTGACTAGTACCTCTGAGGACGGCGACCTCTGCGCCGAAACGTTGTTGCCTCCATCCTCCAAAGCGCCCGCTGGCCAGTTGCTGTTCAAGTAGTACTGATGAGCTGTACTGCTGTCAGCTTGGTGGACGCTCACGTTGGCGGCACCTTGATAGGTTTGCTGGTACTGCGTTGTGGCGGTACTGGACGTCGACCAGGAATCTGATCCAGCGCTCGCTGGACTGATTTGGTACGTTTGGCCCGTTTGGGGTGCTGTCAGGGTGATTTGGTTTAATTGTTGTTCGTAGTTGCTTGCTGAAAACCGGAGATCCTGAAATAAATTTTCAGGGACTTTAGGAGAAGCTTGGAGATTTTCATTTTGTATTGTTCAAAATTTGTTACCAATCAAAACTGATAGAAGAATATGAACACCGATTTTGAATAATTTCAAGCACCTCAAACTGTAAATCCCCTGCTGGAACTTCGATTCACATAAACATAGAGAACATGAGTGACTATGGACAATTTCTTAACTAAACTGCTGGAACTGGATACGCATAAAGAACTATTTTGCCTATTTTTGAAGTGAAATATCTCAGAAAATATAAGAGATATTTGATTGCGGTTCGAAGCATTTTGGGGCGCATCGTTTGGTGCTCAAGGTATATGGTATCGTGCTGATGAACAGAGACGTTATCTACAACATACAGGGTGGACAATACAACAGTGCAAAGTTTAACCAATTTCAGGGCGTCGCCATTTCTTTTCAAACATACTCCTGCTTTTTTTCTGGGTTAGAAGAATCAGTAGTTCAATGGAAAAAAACAGCTTGAGTAGTTTTGCAGAAATTACAGATTAACGGAAAAACGACTTTGATCGCCCTGATTCTTCGTCTCAGTTAATCGAAACAATTTTCTTCATTATTGTTGGTTCAACGGTTTCGTCTTTTTCGTGTTTCAAGAAGGTTTTATACAGGTTGGAAAAACATTTTTAGGTGGTTCGTGAAGATAATTGTGCCTCAGAGAGTAACATGTACTGCGAATTATAGGGGGCACAGTTTTCTTTCTTAATTGATATGGCACCAACCTTTTTCTGCTTTATTGTATAACTATTTTGAGAGCCAAATATGATTTTAATTCTGGCTTGTAGAAGTGACATTTCTTTAACGAAATAACGAGTCCAGCCTGACGCAAGCAGTCAAATACAACCTCCAAAAGTCGAAAATATTCTGAAAGGAGTTAGAAATTATCACCACGTCATCAATCATGACATTTGGTTCGAATTCTGGACCAAGGATAGTGTCAATAATTCTTTGCCAGGTTGCAGGAGCATTAGATAAGCCAAATGGCATCCGACAGAATTGGAAGAGTCCTCTGCCAGGGACAGTAAATGCAGTGTACTCCTTGGAAGATGTACTCAAAGGGACCTGCCAAAATGCTGACTTAATATCGATGGAACTGATATATCGAGACTCCCTTAACCTATCTAAAATGGTTGAAATATATGGGAGAAGATATGCGTCCTTTTTTGTATATTTATTGACCTGTCTGAAAAAGTAGATTTTTAATACCAATTTTTGGGTGGTTCGTGAAGATAATTGCGCCTCAAAGTAATTACATATAGTAGGCGTCATAACACGTAGGTAATATGTACATACTGCGAATTATAGGGGGCACAGTTTTCTTTGTTAATTGATATGATACCAACCTTTCTCTGCTTTATTGTATAACCATTCTGAGAGCAAATTATGATTATATTATGTTTCCTAGGTGGAAAAGCTATTCTGTTCTCGAGACGTCGAGATATTTCGTGAATTATTAGCACGTACCATGTCATAAGGGGGCTACTTATACAGGGGTGGTAGAAAGTATCGGAACGGTTGAATCTCTTCAAAGCCACCTATGCTGCTTTCCCAAATTTCGTTATCTGGAGGTTTCTGGGCGAACGAAATTGAACAATGATGTAGGGCAAAGCTGGTAGATCTGGCAGCAGCGCCGATATCATTGAATCATTCAATTTTGTTTGTCCGGAAACCTCCAGATCAAGAAATTTGAGAATGCAGGGCTGGGACTCTGTAACGAATAAAGATATTTTTTCTATCTCTATTGACGTCTATTCTCTATTGATTTCGACAAGACAGAAGAAGACAGCAAGTGCCATAGCGATAGGGATAACGATCTCTGTTTGTTACAGAGTTCCAACCCAGGTTTTTTAAGCAGAGGTTGAAAGAGATTCAATCTTTCCGATACTTTTCACCACCCCTGTATAAATAGCCCTCCTATGACATGGTATGTGCTAATAATTCACCAAATATCTCAGGGTTTCGAGAACAAAATAGCTTTTCCACCTAGAAAACATAATATAAGCATATTTTGCTATCAGAATGGTTATACAATAGGCAATTTTTCGCGAGGATAATCAAGCATAATCTGATTATGCTGGGTTTAGTCAATCAACGATTTTGTGATGTGTCAATTTGCCATACTCCCCTAACTCCCTCTCCATCCAATTCTGGGCCTGCGAGTGACGTCACTATCAGCAGCCTATAGTGATGACGTCACCTGCAGACCTCGATGAAATGCTTGCTATTCAAGCTGTCCTAGTGAGTTAATTTTCTCGTCGATTTTAAATGTAGAAAAGGTGATTTTCGGTCTGTTATCACAGAAGAAATTAAGTGTTCTTGATCCTCGAGTATCTCAGAATTTGATGATGGGGGAGTTAGGGGAGTATGACACAATTGACACATCACATAATCCAGCATAATCGATTATGTTCGATTATCCTCGCGAAAAATTGCTTAAAAAAGCAGAGAAAGGTTGGGGCCGACTTACTTTTTTTTCATCCTGTATAAAATCTTCTTGAAACATGAAAAAATACGAAACCGCGTTGAACCAACGCAATAATGAAGAAAATTGTTTGGATTAACTGAGACAAAAAATCAGGGTGATGAAAGTCGTTTTTCAGTTAAACTGAAATTTCTGCAAAACTACGAGATTTATTCAAAAACCCTTCAAATTGTTTTTTATCATTGAACTACTGATTCTTCTTAAACCCAAAAAAAAAGCAGGAGTACGTTTGAAAAGAAATGGCGACGCCCTGAGATTTGTTAAACTTTGCACTGTTTTATTGTCCACCCTGTATGTTGTAGATAACGTTTCTGTTCATCAGCACGATACCATATACCTTGAACACTAAACAATGCGTTCCAATATGCTTCAAACCGCAATCAAATATCTCTTATACTTTCTGAGATATTTGACTTCAAAAATAGGCAAAATATTTCTTTATGCGTATCGAAGTTCCAGCAGTTTAGTTAAGAAATTGTCCATAGTCACTCATGTTCTGTATTTTTAGTTGATTCTAAAACGATTTTTGCTTTGTTTTCTTTTCGATTAGGTAGGTAGTCCTTTTTAGCGAAAAAAGGTACTACCCTATTCCTTTCCACGTATACCATTGGGAATTGTTGATGACACTGACAATTACCAAATGTTGAAGCAAATTTCAAAAACGGTAAACACTCATCCTGGTTGAAAATTCGAAACCATTAAATAGTTATTCAAAAATTTTCAGCTGGAAGTTTTAACACCCACGTAACAGAAACGAAAAATTCTGACTTACCTGATGATATCTGGAAGACGCCAAAGTGGGATCATTATTCCTCACTAACACATTATTATTCAAAATCGGAGGACTTTCCCCGCTATTCCGTTCCAACTGATACTGCATGGTACTGTACTGATGTTGCTGCAAATACTGAGAACCATCCGGTGGATACTGTCCGTTATTCGAGTACTGTGCAGTTTCAAGATTAGCGTAATCAGCCGAAGTGTCTATGGTACTTTCAATGGTGACCGGCACGGTAGTACCTTCGGAATTGGTTATTTGCAATGTGAAAATTTCCGGCTGATGGTGCTGATGTGGATGGTGCTGGTGCAGGTGCTGCTGGAAGTTTCCTGCGTTGAAACTTTTGCTGGTAACAGTAAACTGGTGCTCCGAATGCGTAGAGGAATCTTGACTGATTATTTCGTAAGGTACCACTTCTTGCGGCACTCTGTGTTTGTCTTCTGTATCAGAGCTTTCTTGGGCTTCCACGAGTTCTTCGTTGTGGGCTTCAAGATGGTCTGCACTTTCTATTTTACCTGCCGTGGTGAGAACATTTTTTTTAATCACTGAAGGCGGAGGAGTAATATTCGGTTGACTTTCAACAATCACTTCCGTTATTGGCGGTTCTTCCAACACTTTCGCCTCATCTTTAATGTTATTTTCTTCTTGTTTTTCTAATTTTACTTCTGCAGCATCTTGTTCGCTTTCTTTGGGAGGCTCAACGTCTTGCGGAGAAGCTTGGGGCTCTTCTTTCGGTTCCATTTTCTGTAACAATTAAACACTACATTTGACTGCGCGACACGACTCGGTACCACGAAAACAATAACCTTTTAGCGACACATCCTTTAAAAGTTTCAATGAATATTTGTTTAGTATTTTAGGCTTGGTATATGAGGGAGGATGAATAAATGAAACGGCAATTTTTAACAATAGTAGTTATGAAATCAATAGTACCAATTTGAGTTTTATGATATCTACACTTGATTCTTGAAGCACCCAAAGATAAGACAATCGCTCAAGAAACTGATGTGAATGCCTATTTCAAAAACATTGATGGTTTTTTCAGGTCTGTCATGTTCTACTAATATCATCTCGATAAAATCTAGATAGTGAAATCAATGATGAGTAAATGAATTTATTTTAATTATTTTAATAAAAATTCTTTTTCCCTCGTATATTCCACCAACAACCTCTTTTAAATATTTGCTAAGTTCATGAGCTATATACAACCGACCAAATGAAGCATACTCATAATGTATGCATTGTTTTATGTGAAATATCAACTTGCTTGATTAGTCTGGGTATTTCTGGTGGAAGGTGCGATATAGGTACCATCGGAAGGTGTATCGTGGTGGTACCTTGTTTGAACAACGTTTCCGTTTCCCGCGCGTGTCTGATATTCTATTTTCAGTCGGAGACTGAAATCATTTTAATTACTAATTATTTTTGGTATTGAAAATTCCAATTTATTTGTTCAAAAATCAAGGTGCGATTACCGGAAAACTACATGTTTCTTGAAAAAACGGTAAATTTGGGTTAGTTCCTGAAGCGTCATAAACCTCACCTTACTTGTATAATATGGTTTTTATGACGCGAGCCATAGACTACAAAGCAAACAGGCAATAATTGAATTTAGTTAGTCATGTGTTCCTTTTATTGACATACTTGAGATATCTATTATGTAGAAATCTAAAAAAAACGAGTAAAATGCTTAATTTCATGAAATTTTCATATTGAATAATTGTGAGCCGTAATAAGATTTTTTCTGCGAGAGAAAATTTTTCTCCTGGTTCAATTTCAAAACGAAAACAACACCATAAACCAAAGCTGAAGTAAAAATTATTGTATTATTCGTAACAAACTCGATGCTTTCATTATTTGCTCGTGTGAGACTGAGCAAACATTTGAGTTGTATGGGGCCAAATTGGGGATTTTTTTAATACCTTTTTAAATAATAGAATAACGGTACCTACTTGCATCAACTCCAAGTACAGGGTGTTTTTTTATATATTGACACCCCACCTACAGCCTTTACCTTTACAGCACAACATATTGATGAATAGATGGCTGCGGAACTCGCTGCGCTCGTCCCGCAGAGGTCTACCCATAAGTTCCGTAACAATTCACTCATTTGTACTTGAATAACATGTCACATTATGTTATTAGTTTGGTAAAGTAACATTACTAATTCCTGTAGAAAGGCAAATTGACAAAAAGTGAATAATCATAATCTTACAAATTTTGACTTTATATAATAAGTTATTGTTCAAGTACATGGTGTTTTTTTATATATTGACACCCCACCTTCAGCCTCTACCTTTACAGGTAGATGAAAGGTGTAAATACAAAAGTTGTACAGTATACAGGTCTACCCATAAGTTCCACAGCAATCCACTTGTTTGTAATTGACTTGTCACAATATATTACTAGTTTGGTAAAGTAACATTACTAATTGCTGTTGAAAGGCGAATTGACAGAAAGTGAATGATCTTAAAAATTCTGACATTATATAATAAGTTATTGTTCGAGTACAAATAAGTGGATTGTTGCGGAACTTATTGGTGGACCTCTGCGGGACGAGCGCAGCGAGTTCCGCAGCCATCTACTCACCAATATACTGTTGAACTGTTCAAGTAAGACATTCACCTGAAACGTGTAGTTTTTAAACTAATGAGAATAACTCACATTTGAATGAGTCAGGTTAGTATCGTAATTAAACAACATATTGATGAATAGATGGCTGCGGAACTCGCTGCGCTCGTCCCGCAGAGGTCCACCCATAAGTTCCGCAACAATCCACTCGTTTGTACTTGAATAACTTATCACATTATGTTACTAGTTTGGTAAAGTAACATTACTAATTCCTGTTGAAAGGCAAATTGACAAAAAGTGGATAATCTTACAAATTCTGACTTTATATAATAAGTTATTGTTCAAGTACAAATAAGTGGATAGTTGCGGCAATTATGGGTGGACCTCTGCGGGACGAGCGCAGCGAGTTCCGCAGCCATCTACTCACCAATATACTGTTGAACTATTCAAATGAGACACTGACCTGAAACTTGTAGTTTTTGAACTAATGAGAATAACTGACATTTGAGTGAGTCAGGTTAGTATCGTACTTGAACAACATATTGGTGAATAGATGGCTGGGTCCACCCATAAGTTCCGCAACAATCCACTCGTTTGTAATTGAATAACTTGTTACAATATATTACTAGTTTGGTAAAGTAACATCACTAGAGAAGGGCATATACGCAAAGTGCATATTTTGCATAATTTGTATGTTTTATGCATTTTAATTTCATTCTGCATATTTCTTTGAAAATCTGCATATAGTGCATAAAATGTATCATATTTGGACAAAAGGCGTCAATGCAGGAAATAATTTTTTAATATTCAATCATTCATCAGGTACGTAATTACCGGAAAACCTATCGTAAAAGATCGTTCACTGAGCCTTGTTATTGAAATTACACCACTGTTCATACTGGTGATTAAAACCTAATTTAATCCTCAACTAAGTACCAAATTTGGCCAATTTGGGACCTACTTGCCTGGAAGTAGAGCAATAATTATCTATACTATCGATTTTTGAAGATAGGTATCCATATTCATTTGAAGTTGTGATTTTATATTGGGGCCAGTTGACGACGTGGAAAGAAGTTTTTCCGTATATGTATAAATATACTTATGCATTTCGATAGAAGGCACTTTATTGTAATATGTAGATACATAATGTACGAAAAGTAACGGGACGATCAACTATCTCTGAAACCACTGGTGCAATTTGAATAAAATATGGTTCCTGAACGTTACTTGACAAGCCAAATTCAAAAATCGCATCGACGCTGTTGCCAATCTTACCAATTTTTCTGAAGGCACACAATCTTTTTTATTTTTAATCAGACACTCCACTCATTTTAACCTCCATTGATTGCTTGTCCTACTATTGATTTCATTCACCTGTCATTCCGTTTTCACTAATAAAACAAGACCAATCGATTGCGATAAAAATAAGTGAAGTATTACATTTTACTTAAGAAGGATTGTGTGCCTACAGACAAATTGGTAAGTCTGGCAACAGCGTCGTCACAATTTTTGAATTCGGCTTTTCAAGTCTAAATATCAGATTTTATTCAAATTGCACGATTGGGTTCAGATATAATTTACCGTTCCGTTAACTTTCGTTCACTCTGTACAAATTTCTTAAGGCCGTTTTACAGCTTGCAAGAAAACTTGAATACAAATTCAAGATTTTTTGCACGTCGTTTTACACCTTGCAATTTGACTTGTTTTCTTCTCTAACCCGAACCATACTTTGAGTTTTTAATTTTGTGTTGTTGATGTTTACATTTTCCAAAAATGAAAAACGTGATATAAAAAGAAGGATACAATAGCTGCCACTTTAAGCATCATAATTGCTAAAAATTCCTCAGCTTGCGCAAAAATCTTCAAGAAAAATGGCATCAAGAATCTTGCAGAAAACAATCAGCTGACTCACTTCTATCGCATGCCTCCGTTCAAGTTTCTTGCATATTGCAGATAGAATTGCAAGCTGTAAAACGACCTTCATGCATATTTTCAAGAATACTTGCATATTTTGAATAAAATATACCTATGCATATCTATGCGCATATTTCTTATACTTTTATATGCATATTTGCCCTTCTCTAAACATTACTAATTCCTGTTGAAAGGCGAATTGACAAAAAGTGGATAATCTTACAAATTCTGACTTTATATAATGAGTTATTTTTCGCGAGTTCCGCAGCCATCTAATCACCAATATACTGTTGAACTGTTCAAGTAAGGCAACTCACATTTGGGTGAGTCAGGTTAGTATCGTAATTAAACAACATATTGATAAATAGATGGCTGCGGAACTCGCTGCGCTCGTCCCGCAGAGGTCCACCCATAAGTTCCGCAACAATTCACTCATTTGTACTTGAATAACTTGTCACATTATGTTATTAGTTTGGTAAAGTAACATTACTAATTCCTGTTGAAAGGCGAATTGACAAAGAGTGGATAATCTTATAAATTCTGACTTTATATAATAAGTTATTGTTCAAGTACAAATAAGTGGATTGTTGCGGAACTTATGGGTGGACCTCTGCGGGACGAGCGCAGCGAGTTCCGCAGCCATCTACTCACCAATATACTGTTGAACTGTTCAAGTAAGACATTCACCTGAAACGTGTAGTTTTTAAACTAATGAGAATAACTCACATTTGAATGAGTCAGGTTAGTATCGTAATTAAACAACATATTGATGAATAGATGGCTGCGAAGTTATTGTTCAAGTACAGGGTGTTTTTTTATATATTGACACCCCACCTATAGCCTTCACCTTTATAAGTAGATGAAAAGTGTGAATACAAAAGTTGTACAGTATTGGCTAAATTTTTAGAATCCATGGTCAGAAACAAAAATTGAATGTCAGAAATGTGAAATGTTGCATGCTTCCAGCTTTCTTCAAATGGGATGCGCTAATGTATTTGGTTCTATATTCTTGAAGAACACAATTTCCCGATTCCAAAACTATATAGTTTGTCTATATTTGGTTGAGTCGTCTCCAACATATTTGATTCTAAAAATTATAAAAATACTATCAGAGAAACCAAGTAGGTACTTCAAATTTTACCTGCAGCTTTCACCTGTATAGGTAAAATCGTTCACAAAATCAGTAGTAGGATAGTATTTTCACAATTTTTGGAGCCGAATATATGAGAGACTGTTCAATCAAATATAGACAAACTATATATTTTTGGAATCGGGGCATTGTGGTCTTCAAGAATATAGAATGAAATATAGCTAGGACATCCCATTTGGAAAAAGCTGGAAGCATGCAAAATTTCACATTTCTGACATTCAAATTTTGTTTCTGACCGTGGATTCTAAAAATCCAAAACTGTACAACTTTTGTATTTACACCTTTCTTTTACCTGTAAAGGTAAAAGCTGAAGGTGGGTTGTGTAACTACCTATTTAAAATCACCTTATTCTCCAAAATAGTTCCCCCATTCCTATATTTTTATGGTCCATTCCTTTCAAAAACCGTATCTTGCATAATGCGTTACTAAAACTAACCCAAACTAACCCAATTTAACTTTAAACTGCCTCCCCCCTTTCAAAAGGCCTATATCCGCCCCTGAATTTTAGCGAATGATGGCTAACCAATAAAGATAGAAATAGAAGAAATAATAATTTATCATTTGATTAATCCCTGATGGTGTTTAAATCCATAATTATTATACTGTATTTTCGCCAACAATTTATTTTGCATTATTTTCTTGGTCCTATTTTAGTTAAAATACCTAGTTTTTAGTAGGCGGCATCAAAGGAGTCCGCATAAAATTTGAAGACTAAAGACATTATTATTTATCGTCAAACAAGAACCTACATTGGTTTGAGTCTGTCCAGAATGTAAATGCAAAAGTAACTTGAAAGTAGGTATGAGACTAAAATTTCAAAAAGAAAAATGGCCAAAAAATCATTATAAACTTTTTTGCCACCCACTTTCATTAAAAAAAAAAACACTTAGCTACTTAATCATAAACCTACCTTTAGTTATGGTGAAAATTATTATAATCTAATAATTGAAACGATAAAAAGCCAAAAACCACACTATCACTACCTATGATAAGTTGATAACACTGCGTATGTATAGGAGAACACCCGGGAGCAAAATGCCACATTATTATTTTGTCTCACGGTTCAGGTGTGCGTTAAGCACCATTCGCAGTCACGTAACGTCAGCGCCATCTCACATGATAAACAATTTTTATATTGGTTTATATACCTGGAGTTTGGAGGCACACATAAAATAAAATGGCGGATCACTAGCTTTTGAATTATGCATTTCTTTCAAACTATGCACATGAAGGGGATTCCTTTATAAATATTATTGTTATGTATTAATAATATCTATCTGTTGGTTAACCTTTTAGATAATAATATCTAAGGTAGATACTGGCAGTATCTCGGTATAATAAAATTTATCAAAATATTGTCAACATTCTAATCTACTTTGCTTTGCTACCCCCCACAAGACCAGACTTTGCTGCTGTTTAACTTTTTTAATCAGTGTCGGTTGTTGGTTCTAACACTAGTCGCGTTTTTATCAAGTTTTAAAATGTTAATTAATTGGATGTGGTTAAAGTTTTCGTGTATTTTTAAACCTTTCCGGAATATTTCCATATACGCAAAAAGTGAGGATTTTAATTGTTGGCCTATAGGTATATTCAAAATGAAGAAACACAATTTAATGGTTTAGGAGAAATGAAAAACACCACAAAGGAACCACTTTAGAGCTGGGTAAATTAGGCTATTTTAATTGTTTAGTTTAATATTGGATGGTTTTTATGTTCAACTTCATTCCCTAAATTTAAAATGGCTGATTTGTACAGCAACAGAGAGGCTAGTTACAAAACTGTCCACGATTGTGCGAAATGACAATTGGTATTTGAAACATTATATTCATATCTACTTATGGAAAAAATGGGGATTTGGTTTTGTGAGAATATAGTAAAGGCCAGGTCAGTTGGAACATTTACGCACAAAATTGTCCAGGAAATATATTGAACACTGATGTCAATAGGTAATAATATTGTTATCCCTTTGGTGTAATATCGGCATCATTTCCTACAATCCCTGAAATTTCAGCTCATTTGCACTTATAGTTCCTGAGATAAAATCGTGTTAAGCAATTTGGGATGATTTATCAATTTTTAAATTTTTCTGAGTGCTTCTTTTCATAGATTTCGGCTTCAAATCTGAGAATAATTTAGTGTATGGAGTTTGGGGGATGTTGATTGACCATTAGGATACAAAATCTCGACAAAAAAAAATTTGAAATTTCATCGTTTTACTCGTCGTTTTAGTAAGAAGGTACCCCCCTTATGATTTAGATTTTGGAAAACTTTGAAAGGTCATAACTTTTTTTCTATTATAGATAGAAAGCTGAATCTTTCTCTGAGTTTCATCATTTTCAAAGGACTACAATCCCTCAAAAAATCAGCTCATTTGCACTTATAGTTCCTGAGATAAAATCGTGTTAAGCAATTTGGGGTGATTTATCAATTTTTCAATTTTTCTGAGTGCTTGTTTTCATAGATTTCGGCTTCAAATCTGAGAATAATTTTGGGTATGGAGTTTTGGGTATGTTGATTGACCATTAGGATACAAAATCTCGACAAAAAAAAATTTGAAATTTCATCGTTTTAGTAAGAAGGAAGGTACCCCCCTTATGATTTAGATTTTGGAAAACTTTGAAAGGTCATAACTTTTTTTGTATTATAGATAGAAAGCTGAATCTTTCACTGAATTTCATCATTTTCAAAGGACTACAATCCCTCAAATGAAATTTCATCGTTTTAGTAAGAAGGTAAAAAATTGAATGTGTCATATGAATCAATCTACGACAACCTTTTTTTTTCAACTTTCAAGGTCGAGTATGAACCCTGGTGAAACGAACCTTACCTACCTTATGATTTAGATTTTGGAAAACTTTGGAAGGTTATAACATGAAAAAGGAATCTACGACCATTGCCTCTAAATCTTGTATGCTGAGCAGCTAGAAGATAACCCATATGAAATCATAGAAAAAACCTAACTATTAGCATTTCACCATAATTGATAGATTACCCTCGAATTTAAAAACTCTTCTGAAATTGATTTAACGTTCAATCTTGGGACATTTTCATACCAATCGTTAAGCTCGTCACATTGGTTTTAAAAGGATATCTTTGTTATGGGTATAGTTATTTTTCCCAATCCTGAGTTCAAAAAGTCAAAAAGGTTTCCAAGAACAATCAGTCTGCGTCTAGTGGGCTTTTAGATTACTTCTTATAAAACAATAGTAGCCAGTTTACTCTTAAATGATTCAAGCCTTCTGATTTTTCCTGCAGGAATCCTGGACCAAAACATCCAGGAAATTCCACTTCTCGAATTATGTATAAGTACCTATAGTTCAACTTTTTTCGCTCAAAATGAGTTTTCGCATGGATCTCAACAAGCTGTTTTTTGGTATTTCAACAATTCGTGGTTGGTACTTTTAGATAGAATAATTACCAATCGACTTAATTTTGTTTGGAACTTGAAGTTTTCTTGTATGGTGTAGAAACCTATATATTGATCATCATTATATACATATATGATGAGATTTGCATTTGAAAACATCGTCCATTGATTGGCTGGTAAGTTGCTTGGGTTTTTTCTTATCATTTGTTTGCATTGCACGTAAACCTACGCGGTGTGTTTGCCTGTATATTGTTGGTACACCGTCGACTGCTTTCAGCTGTTTACATATTTGATAAATAACAATTTAAGCCTGGTTTTTCCAACTCTTTATATACAGAGTGATGCGAAAAGAACAATTCTGTCTTCTGAAAATCACGGTACCACCCAGGAAAAAAAGAAATACAGAAAATGAATTTGATATTTTTACTAATCATTTCTATGCTCAAACTCTATTTAGAAAATTATTATTATACATTGGCGTTCAGCTTCAAAATTGCTAAAATTTTTTAGGTAATACGGTGTAGGTAATTATCTTCTTACGCATTATTTATTATTTACAAAGTTAAAATATGGAGGAGAGATAAACTGCATCATATCTGAACTAAACTGTTAGATAGGATAGTAGCTATCTCCGATTATCTGGGTTTTTTTTAATAATCACACACACAAGATATAGTAATCTTTTTTCCTTTGAACAGCGCAGTTGAAGTGAAGAATCGCCAGTGTGAAGATTATTGCTTTGTGAAGTTTGGAAAAAAAAAATTTGGCTTACCATTAAATAAGTGCCTTCTTCAATGTCGTTTTCTTCGCTGGCACCAGAAGCTGGATTTTTCTCTCTTCCATCGTCAGCCATGTTACACTGTGTGAAGTTTTTTCTCCCAGTAAAATTCAGGTGTCGACAAGATGGCTGATTTATTGGAAATGACGTCAGTCTATTGTATGTAAATCATCCATCGATTGGTGATAGTGATATTTGTTTAAGTGCAGTGATGGAGATTAATTCGATTTTGATACCTACCTCAGTGGCGTCTTAAAGTGAATGAAATAAAAAATTATAAATGCTATTGTTAAAGAATGAGGAAAGAGCCCTATCAAACTTTTAAATGCACCTACCCAGACAGCACAAGTCTTACAGACGTCTTTTTTAGGTCTGCATTGCGTCTGAACGTCTGGGTCCTAGGTTTGAAAATATTATTCTTGATGACGCCTTTAGGCAGACGTCTGAAAAACTTTGGGTTTGGTAACATACGACGTCTTTAAGACGCCTAGAAGACGTAAAGCAGACATCTTAGGGGCATCTTTAAGATGTCTCTGTTCTGTCTGGGTATTCAATTGCAGAAATTCTGGATTTTTACATTTGGTTTGATTGGTTTGGGTCAGTTGAATGGTTCAGAGGCGGGTACAGCTTATGTAAACACTGTTTCAAATGGTTTTCGTGCTGAATTAAATTGAAACCAGAACAAGCAAAGACTAGAAAAAAATTATCGCCCTCCAAGTCATCTGCCATTTCATGCATCTTCATTCTGTCTTGGATTCAACCGATAATCGATTCAAATGCAACAAAAGTAATTTTTCTTCTTGAATTTGGTGCAAGTTCAACATGTATAGGTAAGTAGTTCCTCTCCTATTCCAATTAACCTTGCTCTGGGAATAGAATGAGGAAAGACTTTTTCATACTTAATGAATCAAAATGAGTAGCACAAATAAGTATATAATTTCGTTGAACAGTCCAGAATCATTTTGGCATCTTATCTCAACATCATCATGTTGCATTTTTGGAAAAGAAAGTTTCCCCAAGTTGTCCCATTGGTTCTTCATGCACATCGGCAAAAGTTACTCGCTTTTTTGGAACTTCCGTTTTTCGAATTTGATTTATGGGGCTTCAGGGAATATCCATCATCTACTTGATAATGAAGAATACCTACCATACTTCTGTGTAATATTTCCAAATTTCCAGGACATTTTATTATTTTCATAAAAACGAACTTGTACTCTATCTCCCACGCGTAATTGACGAGGTGAAGGATATTGTTCTTGAATTTTCACATGCTGCATTTGTCGAATAGCGTCAAGTTTTTCGAAATGGTCGACTTAAGTACATTTCAGCTGTTGAAATGCCATCAGCAAGTGATGTTGCTCGATACTCTAGTAGAATTTCTTGAATTTTCCTTGTCATACTTGTAGGTTCATTACCCATAGCATTTAATCGATTTTTCAGAGTCTGAACATTGCGCTCAGCAAGACCATTAGTAGCTGGATAGCGTTTTTGAAAAATTCCATATTCTCTACAAAACGACTCGAAAATACTACTCACAAAAATTTTAGCATTAACGGATATCATAACTTTTGGAAATCCATGTGTTGAAAAATTTTCTTGTAAAAGTTCAATCGTTTTCGTCGATGTTGGGGCATCCGTGATTATTTTGACTTCTGCCCATCGTGATTTTGCATCTATGACCACTAGAAAATTGAAACCTTGAAAAGGACCAGCATAGTCAATATGAATACGATCCCAGTTTTGTTCAGGTAACTCCCAGTGGCTGGAGAGGTTCGAATTAGGGCACATGCATCACATGATTTAACCAATGTTTCGATATCTCTATCAATTTTTTCCCAAATACAATACTTCCTTGCCAACTGCTTTATTTTTGTGATTCCAATGTGAGTTCTATGCAGGTCTGCTAACACTAAAGGTTGAAGTTTAGTCGGAATAACATCTCTTTGTCACTTGAAAAGCACTCCATCTTCTAGTAGGTAATTAAATTCTGAAAATTGATTTGTCAATAAATCAGATTTTATATTCTATAGGACTTCATCTTTCTCTGGTCTCGACTCGGATACTTTCAGCATTTAGTTCTAATGTTGATATGTGGAAAATGGTTGAATAACAGATTTGATTTACGTCTTCATTAGGAAACTTGTCAGTTGAGTGTTGATTCTGATCAATTGGTGATCGAGATAAGCAGTCCACATTCGTATGTTCACAACCTCTTTTGTATTCTACCTCGTAATCGAAACTTGAAAGGAACGAAGAGTATCTGAGTAGTCTGGCAGACGTCATAGCTGGTAATTTCGCATTCTGGTAGGAAATTCTTGTAAGCGGGCTGTTATCAGTGATCAATTTGAATTTTCTTCCACATAAATACCTACATATAATCGTGATTTACTGGAAAAATTATGGCTCTCTGTCCAATTGGCTATAGTGACGTTCACTAGCTGTTACAATGATCTTGAAGCGAAAGCTATGGGTTTTTCTACACCATCTTTATTATGTGATAAAACACCTGTAGGACTTGCATCACACACTAGTAAATTTGCGTGAAATGGATTCAGAACACGATCACTCGCTATTTCCTGCTTCAACTTTATGAATGCTGCCTCACAGGAACGATCCCAATAGAACTTTTCGTTCTTTTGAAGTAATTTTCGTAAAGGATAAGCGATTGTCGATGTACTGTTGGGTATAAATCGGGAATATTATTTAAACGTACCAAGAAATCGACGAGCTCCATGTACATCCTTGAGTCTAGGCATGTCAACTATGGCTTTTACATTTGCTGGAAATTTTGATATTTGATTATGTTGAATCACATACATTTAGTAGGAATTTTGTGTATTTTCGACGCAAAACATTTCAATAAACACTGTAAGACAATTTTTAGAATTGAAATCGCCCCAAAAACCCCAAAATTATGCAAAAAACCCGGGACGTGGGTCCGAAATAACATCAAAAGGCGCCATGACAGTACCAACTGCCAAAAAACAAAAAAATCCAAAGCCTACTTGATTGAAGTTAGCTACAAGCAGTGCTGCCACATTTTAAATGGAATTTTGCTAATTATGGCATTTAAAACTGGAAATTTTTGCTAGAAAATGAAGAAAACTCAAAGCCTCGTATGTTTAATCGGTTTTTTCCATCAAAAAGCTCCGGAAAAGTGGAAAATTCGAGGAAAAACTAGCAAAAAATCACAAGACGTCACTTCAAAAAGGCCGACTAAAAGCAACGTTGCCACAACTCATCTCGGAAAACAAAAATAACATTTTAAAATTCGATTTAATAATTAATTAATAATGATTATAATAATTAAAATTCCTCAAATAAGACATCGGAAACTTGTTTTTAGTGTAATTTCAATGAAAATTACATTACAAGGTTTACTTGTTAATTATAGTGAGTAAGACAAAGACAACAATAAAGTAGTATATGTTTGCAAAAACCACCGTTTTCTGAAAAAAGTAAAAATCTTAAGAAAACCCAGTAGAAAACCAACATTTCAAAGTCAATTTGATAAAACTAAAGTTTTTGAATATTCCCGGTTTTTGATTGGCTCCAAATTATCCGCTGACCAATAGAATTACGGACTGAGCCCCGTGATTAAAATAACTTTTGGCCCTTTGCGCTCTCGTATAACTCCGGCCCTTCGGGCTCGTATAACCTCGGCCCTCCGGGCTCGTGATTAAAATAACTCCAGCCCTTCAGGCTCGTATTACTCCGGCCCTTCGGGCTCGCGTATAATTAACAGTTTTCTTGATCGAAACCGGCCTGGAAAAGCAGAAAATCTGAAGAAAAATTGGAAAAAAAACACTCGAAAATGGCCAACTGTGACATTACATCACAAGGCCTACTTGATTGAAAGCGACTTTGCCACATCACGAGCCCGCAGGGCCGGAGTTATTTTAATTACGAGCCCGGAGGGCCGAGGTTATACGAGCCCGCAGGGCCGGAGTTATACGAATTCGAGGGGCCGGAATTATGCGAGCCCGAAGGGCCGGAGTTATTTTAATCACGAGCCCGGAGGGCCCAGGTTATACGAGCCCGAATATATTCTACTTGTACAATGATTGTTACAACTTACCAGTTTGAAAATCAATCTCCGGCCTGAAATTTTGTGTATTTTCAACGCAAAACACTTCAATAAACACTTTAAGACACTTTTCAGAATTGAAATCGTCCCAAAAACCCCAAAATTATGCAAAAAAAACCGAGACGTGGGCCCCAAATAACATCAAAAGACGCCATGACAGTACCAACTGCAAAAAAAAAAATATATACAAAGCCTACTTGCGCGCAATTTTACAGTGTTGTCACATCGATATTTTAATACAATAATGAAACAACTTACCAGTTTTCAATCAAAATCAATGGCGCGGCCTGGAATTTTGTGTATTTGTGAGGCAAAACTCTTCAATAAACACTTTTCAACCCTTAATTACTCCAAAAAAACCCCGAACTTGTGTAAAAAACTCGGAACGTAGGCCCCAAACAACATGAAAAAACGCCAAGACAGTACCAACTGATGAAAAAAAAATGGAATTTTGTATATTTTCAATGCAAAATACTCCAATAAACACTCTTTAGCCCTCAAATCATCCAAAAAAACGGCATCAAAAGACGCCATGACAGTACCATACCAATTGTTAGAAAAAAAAACACAAAGGCTTACTTTGATAGTTCTTCTTGGATTATAGTTTTGATAGTTTACCTGTCTGAATTGGCATTAATAATGACTTTTATAACTAGAAAATGTTGGATGAAAAAAAATAACAGAATAAAGTTTATTTGATTTTTTACTTGGCGCCCTTTTTCAGCAATGAATCTATTACTGCACGGTGACCTTTCCAAGATGCAAATGAAGAGCTGTTTGGCCAATAATATCTTTTCTTTCCATTTCTGCGTTGAATTTTAGAAAAAATTCTACTAAATTGGCATTAGGTACCAAAGATATTCGATGCTGGTTCGGAAAAAAGCACATTTCTATTTATTTAAATGTAATTTTTGAGTCGTTAAGAGATGGGCTGTTTTAATATCAAATGACAAACTAGGCAAAGGCGATTTCGCGCTCAACAATCTCATCCGAATTCAGTGAATAGGGCGTTTGGTACATTTTGACTTGTTTATTTGGACATGAGAGAAAAAGAAACAGAAAGCTACCAAACCTCCACTACCCAGTCAAACTGCGGTATAGCATCTGACCATCATCTGACACACCAAAGGGCATACCAAAATTGTTGTTACCTGTTTGACAGATCAAACTGGGGTACTAAACTGAGGCGAAATCGCCTTAAAGGTAAATTCGCCTCAGTTTGGTACCCCAGTTTGGTCTGTCAAACAGGTACCAATCAATTGACCTTTTGTTTGGACGCCATATTGCGGTGCGCGAACATAGTTTCCAAAAGAAGAAAACAAAAATTACTAGCGGGCTGTCAGCATTAAAAAAAAAGGTTGAAACTAGTTTTCTGACTGTTTCTGATTGTTTTCAACCAATGAAATTCGCTCTGACTGGTTTGTGATTGCTGTGCGAACAGGCCTTCTACTATTTCTATTCTACTCAATACAAGCTAAAATTGATGGCTTTTCTTTTCAAAAACATTCATAATAGGCGGCGAATTCAAATTTTAAATCTAATTTATTCAGTAACTTTGGTTTTTAATGTTGACAGTACGCTAGTAAATTTTTTTTCCACTTTTGGCAACTATGTTCGCGTACCGCAATATGGCGTCCAAACAAAAGGTCAATTTCGGATGGGAGAATGATACTGTTACGGCAACTTTGGTAGACGCTTTGGTCTGTCAGATGCTCTACCGCGGTTTGACTGGGTAGTGGTGGTTTGGTAGCTTATTGTCTCTTTTTGTCCAATGTCCGAATAAACATGTCAAAGTCAAAACGCCCTATTCACTGAATTCGGTTGAGATTGTTGATCTACGTCACTCACGTAAAGTCTGTTTTTTTTTTTTAAATAAAAGTCAAAATGTAATGTAATTGAGTTCATTGGTAATGACAATGTAAAATTGTCAATGCTTTCAAATTTTTTATGTAGAAAAGGCTTGTGCTGCCAATATAGTTGCTAAATTTTTGACTTGGGGAATTCTTAAAAAATAAAAACAGACTTCCTACCAATTGGTTAACCGCTATCTATCGCCTACCAAACAGCCGATTGAAATCTGGAAAGAAGTCGCCAATAGAAAAGAAGCAACATTTAAAAATACTGGTGAATAACTTACAAACATACCTTTTGAAACAAATGTAATAAGGATATAACAGTTAGCTAAAGAGATAAATCCAATATGACAAGAGTGCCCAGCGCTTTTTCAAGAAATAACTAATGCTAATAGGAATAGTTCTAACAATTGAGATAAAAGAACCACAATGTCAAACAAAATAAGTAAATAAATGAAACACAATCACGTAATTGAAACGTATATAAAACCATGTGAAAAATTATACCTACAGTAAACAGACCCTTTCTTGTCTCAAATTATATGGTTTGACCGTTTGACTTTACTGCCATAAATCATTTACCTGATTGAACCCAAATTGTTCAGGTTCCAAAATCTCCAAAACAAAACAAGTCCGCTCAGGGACGAACTTCACTCAAGCAACTTTTATTTTTTGGCATATTGATTTGTGTCAGAGTCAGGTAAAATATACCATCCCCCTTTTTCCCGTCTCATTAGATGACACTTTTTTTTCTTCAAAAATAAAAAGAACCAAGTTGGCAAGTTCCAAAAATTGATGGCCAGAATCCTTTTCTTTGAATTTTCGTGTCTGTTTTCATATGACTTGTCTATACTGTTAAGAAGCTAAAGTAAACACATACACAGATAGACACAGATGATGGTTCTGGTACCCAACCCCTTTTATTGCTACTGAATTTTATTTGGTCACCTAAAACCGCCCACTGTCAATCAAAATGACTGACTTGATCCTTTCAGCATGTTGAGATTTTTCTTCTCAAAACTTAATAAAACTCGAAAAGTTCCTTATCAAATATATTTTTATTTAATTATTTTTACTGTATATAACAAGAGACAGAATTATATAATTATAGAACAAATAAACTAAATGAAGAACTATAATATAATAATGTAGGATATATACAGAAACATTTTTTTCTACAACGGAATGTGTCTGATAAAATATTAAATAAAAAACATTTTTTGAGAAAAAAAAACGATGAGAAAATCTCAGTCAAAATTAAAACTAAATATATATAGGTATAGTATATGATTTGTTTAAAAATACTACAGAATGTCCAAATGGGATATAAATTACCTATGCACCCTGTAGACTTAAAAAAAGAAAATTCTGTTTGACATTAAAAAAGCCAATAATTTTTAAACAAAATCTTTGGTCACTTGTGTATATTGTTTTCTTTTGAATTTATACATTTTCTATATACAAAAATTATTAGAGTGTCCCAAAAAAAATGCATTTTGCACAAATTTTGATATCAAACATAAGATCATAGGTACAGTTTTGTTTTTTTTTTTTTGGGACATTCAGTATGATTAGTGAACTAAGCCTATGGCAAAAAACTAATGAAGTAATTTATTTACATAATAGATAAATTTATAAGTACCTATGTAAAAGATACAATAACAATAATAATAATTACAAAAGAGATTCAAATTTTAGCTGTGATGTATACCTACCTAATTGCAGATTTATATAGGTAGAATGTTGATTAAAAGAGAGCAATACAAATGTCGAAATATATAAGAATAAGTTATAAATACAAAAAATCTCAAATCAACTATTCGTAGATGATACTAAAATTGCACTAAAAATAATAAAACATAAAACTAATTTACGACGTCAAAGACACCACGGTGGGTCGCTCGATGTTATCCATAATAACTTTACTATCGTTGTTGTTATTGTTATTAACATACATAGGCGAGTGAGGAGAATCTGAGTGAATATCGGAAGCTGTGGACAGAGGACTCGGCGTAGCGGTGTGAGGCAACATCCCGTTGTAGTAGTCGGCTTGAGTGCAGAGGTTCTGAGGCGACTGCGAAGAATAGGGGCTGAGCCTCTGGTGAGGCTGGGTCGGGTACATGAAACCAGTGCTGGTGTGTTGGAGATGAGAGAGCTGGAAGGTGTCTGGAATAAAATAATAATCGATCAGTATATTTTTTGGTGGAATGTTGAAATAAATTACAAGAAACTTTTTCAATCAACACCGATAATCAAGAGTCACAGATAATCAAAATTTGAACTATTACCGGCTCTTGATTCTTTGGAAAACTTTCCTGAAGCCAATCAAAGGCCGGTAATAGTAAAAATTTGAACTTTTATCAACTCTGAAGTCGCTAGAGAATTTTAAGGGCATTCAAAGCTCAAGAGCCGATAATAATCAACATTTTGTTATTAATTAAGTTGATGTTGATCAGAATTTCTTCTTCCGCAGCTTCTAATTGGCTCAAGAAAAATTATCCAGTGGATCCAATATCCAATGGATCAAGAGCTACAGATAATCAAAAGAACTATTACCTGTAGAAATAAGCAATTTGTGTGAACCGACCCTAGCCTTAATGCTGCCATATGTCAACTTGTCAATCAGCTGACTTTGTATTGTTCATATAGTTGATTCATTAGTTGATTGAACCTTGCTTTTGAATAAGTTGTTGACCAATTTTCACTGTATTTGCTTAACTGAAGTCCTGCAGAGCCCTGAAAGTTGATAGGTTATGGGCCCAGATATCGTGGCTTAACCCCCGTGAAGTGCTGCAGTTGAAAGTTTTAAGCAAATGGACAAAATTTGCAAAAATTTAAAGACCTAATCTGAAAAGTGTCAGTAATTGTTAGTTAAGTGTAGGTGGAAAAGTCATTGGTGTCAAACCGTGTTTTTATGCAAGACAAAGTGGATGGGAAGAAAATGACGACACCAGCACACAACATCAAACCGTTTGAGGGAACGGGCTACTCAAACTGGGAATTCAGAGTGAGATTGTTGCTGGAGCACCATGGAGTACTCGATCAAGAACCACCCACGAGTGCACAGGAACTTGCCCAGTTCAACAAAGATGATCTGAAGGCTCGGAACTTGACTGTCAACTGTGTGGCCGACAGTGTTCTACACCATTTCAACTTCAATTTCAGAAAAAGTAACTTCTATTTGAGAAAATGTAAAGTCATTTTAGGAAAAAGTCAAATCAATTTCAGAAAAAGTAATCACGTCCCATTTGATTTTTTTCTAGTTCCGCTTCCAGTTCTTCAGTTCTGTCTTCCGTCGCCATTGATCTAATATTGTACGTAGCAATGTTCATATTTGTGTGGTAGCCTGATCTCTTCCAGTTATTCTTCGCACCCTCCTACATTTACATTTTAAAAAGGGGAAAAGTATCCTTATAGAAAATGTAATCTGTGGAAAATGTCAGTGGGTACATTCAGGCGGTGCCAGCGATTAAGTTCAGCTATTCAGCAGCAGGGACTTTATTCTCGAAACAGGGAAGCAGCATTCTCAGAGAAAGAAGGTTCTGTCTTCGTCGTCTATATTCAATGACAGAGCAATCGTTCTCATGAGAACGCTGTTCCTTGGTTTCGAGAATAGTCCCTGCTGAGTGGCTGAACTTAGCCGCTGGCACCGATTGAATGTACCCATTGAATGCGAAGATTTGTCACACAACCTCCTGTCTGTCAAGAAAATAGAGGAAAAAGAATACAGTCAAAGTGTTGCCAGGAAAACAAATATTCAGCAGATATTCAATTATTGATAGATCCAAATAAAGAAATATTTATGAAGGAAGAAAAATATTCAAGTGATGCCAATTCATCAGGACCAGATACTATCAAAAAATTCCAATCTTGCACTTGCAATGCCTTATTTAAAACTAAATCAAATTTAAAAAAAACATTTAGTGACACACTTCGATATTTTGCCTTTTGAATGTGACACTTGCAATGCCAAATTCAAACAGAAAGAATCACAATCTAACACTCGGAAAATTATCATTTTGAATGCGACACTTGCAAAAAATAATTTAGACAAGAAAGTCTCTTGAAGAGTCACCAACTAATACATTCGGATATTCATCCTTTTGAATGTAACACTTGTAATGCAAAGTTTAAACGTTAAAACCAATTGAAGAATCACAAAGTAACACATTCGGATATTTATCCTTTCGAATGTGAAACTTGCAAAGCAAAATTTAACCAAAAATGCTTTTTAAAGAGTCACGAACTGATACACTCGGATATTTTTCCTTTTGAATGTGACACTTGCGAAGCAAAATTTAAACGAAAAAGCGATTTGAAGACTCACAAACTAACACATATTGCTGAAGGAGAACAACAATCTTTACAACATAAATTTTAATGTTTGTAGCACATGCCTGTGACGTCAGTGCAAATGATCAAGATTTATGGCACAGAAGAATGGGTCATTCATATAGATACCCAAGTAAAAATCTTTGTGAAACATGTATTCAAGGCAAACAGTCTAAATTACCTTATAAGATGCTTGCAGATGAAAGAAAACCCAAAAGATTACTAGAAGTTGTCTCATCGGTTGTGTGTGGACCTATAACACCGAATTCATATGACGGAAAAAGGTATTATGTATGTTTTATTGACCATTTTTCACATTTTACAGTGTGCTATTGCATCCAACATAAAAGTGAAGTGCTGGAGAAATTTAAAACGTATATAGCCATGATTGAAGCAAAATTCGGCTATAGGATAGAGCGTCTTCAATGTGACCATGGGGGTGAATATGTTTTAAAACAGTTTCAAGCTTCTTGTGAAACCAATTCAATATACAAGCCCTTATAATCCTTAGCAGAATGGAATTGCTGAGAGATTCAATTGAACCATCATAGAAAAGACACGATGCTTGTTATATGATGCAGAATTAGAAAAACTTTTTTGAAGTGAAGCTGCAAGATGCGCTGTGTATTTGATTAACAGGACTCAATCGTCTGTTTTGAAAAATAATATAACACCAGCTGAAATTTAGTATAAAGAGAAGCTAAACTTGAGCAAAAAAGAATTTTTTGATGTGACATGTTTGTTCATGTGCCATGGATGTTTGTAGTAAAAAAATAATAATGATGGGTTACAATGATAATGGTTATCGAGTATGGGATTCTGCAAAGCATAAAATATTGACAGCTCGAAATGTTGTTTTTGACGAGATGAAGAAGAAAGCAAATTTGACAATGAAAGCAATGGTATGAGTTTGAATGAAGAATTTGATAAGGAAGAACAGTTGGAGCTAAAGCAGAATACACCATGAAGCCAATGCTAACCCTAAAGAAAAAGATAAAATGAAGAGATTAAAGGCATAATACCCAGAAGTGTAACAAATCCAAAACGATTTAAGGACTACGAACTGGTCTTTAATGAAAGTCTAATAACAGCACTTTCAGCTGGAAACTTATACTCTGACATACCTCAGACATACAACGAAGCAATTTCTCTTGGAAATGGTTGGAAGAAAGCTATAGAGACCGAACTTGGAACATTGAAAGAAAATAAAACATGGGAAATAGTGAAAACTCAAAATCATCAAAATGTGATAGACTCTAAGTGAATTTTCAAAGAAAAGGACATAGAAAGCAGAGTGGTGAAAAAGGCAAGACTAGTGGCTCGAGGATTTAAACAACATAATGTGTCGAGCAATTCTGTTACATTAATTTTATATTTAATGGAAACACCTTTGCGAACACCCGCCTACAGTTTTAGTGGTTGTTCATGACAAATTGTCATAAGTTATTGTGAGCAAGTCACGTTGTACGTGTTCCATGTTCAGAGCCGATGATTTATCCTAAATAAAGTATTTCTATATTGTAAAATTGGATCAGTGTTACTGAAGATTCTACACCTAGAGCCAATCAAGAGCCGGTTCACTCGGTATTAGTCAAAATTTAAACTTTTATCAACTCTGGTTTCGCAAGAGAATTTTTCTAAGAGCATTCAAAGCTCAAAAGCCGATAATAATCAAAATTTCGAATGATCATTAGCAGCTTTCAAGTTGATGTTATTGAAAATTGCTTCTTCCGCAGCTTCTAATTGGCTCTTTTAGTCGAACAATTTGCCATTAATAAAACCCAGGGGGCCTAAGTTGTGATATTTGCTTAGAGGCCCAGTGCACTGTTTTAGGCACTATGATTTATTCAGCTGATAGATTATCAGCTATTGCAATCTGAAGGATAAAAACGTAATCTAAAATCCCATTGATCGACCATATATTTCATAATTCTTGTTAAGCAGAAGATGAATAAACTGGACCTTAATATATTGTATTTATGTTTTAGATAATTATTTCTTACCTAATGGTGACGTTTCAATTTTAATCTGCTTCTCAGTTTTAATCCTACCATTTAGTCCTCTACCATTGTTACCCATGTTACCAACCTGTCCTCCTGATTTGCTGCCTTTCGGTTTCCTTTTCCTTGTCTGAAAAACAAAGAAATTTTATTACTATCTACTTCAAACCTAATGCAAAACAATTCCTACCTGTATGGTGTCTTTTTTCATGGACAACGGCCTGTTTACCGAATGCAATTTAAAGTAAAGTCCGCAAGCATTGCATACGGGCTCTCCATGGGCGTTTCTTCTCCATAAAGAAGTAGTAGTTGTCTGGCAGTTGGTGCAAGTGAGACCAGCTCGACGTGATGCAGACTATAGAAAAACAATTTGTCAGTCAAAATTGTTATCGAATATTGAAAAAGCAAATCGAAGAAAACAAAAATACAATTTATTTACCAATCTTCGACTGCTTTTTTCTTCGGTGAGAATTGTAGGGGTCATGGGGGTGCGTGTAGACGCGGCCCCGTTGTACCCTCCATAGTAAGTCTTGTAGTAATCCGGAACACCCCCGGTCGTACCCGGCTCTGCCGCCACTGGAACAACGCAAAAAACAGGGGATTAATCAAAGAGTTTAAATAATAAAAATAATATTTGTATTAAGAAAATGTCTGAACGTGAACCGACTCTTTTTTTTTTTTGGTAGCAGCTTTAGCCTCGTACATCGGGGGGTGTTGAGGAATGAGGTTTCAATGGACGAACGAAAAATATTCCACTTTTTATTATGAACATAATAATGTTGATGTTTGCTGAAATTAAAAATGGGAAAATTTACTTACCTATATATAAACACAATAGATAAAACATTTTTCGTTCGACCATTTGAAAAAACCAACCCAAGTAATAATAAATAACACAGAAGATGGACGCTTGTTCATAAATAGTGTCAAATCACTATGAAAATAAGCACCAAAATCATCCATCGACTGTAGCTAAAAAAATTGTTTGATGTATCTGTACCATTCTACGAGGCTGCTTGACCAAGGGTCGGTTCATGCCATTCATTTTATGGTAAAGGCCGCAGGCGTTGCATAGATAATGGCCGGTGCCGTCGCGACGCCATAACGGTGTATCAATGGCACCACAGTTGACGCACTCTCTACCTTCCGTGAAGTACTCGGCAGTCGTACCTGGGGCAACTATATATAAGGAAAGTTAATTTAATTAATTAATGTAATGAAATATTGTCGCCATTTTTATTTGCAATCTTGTAATGTAATCGATCTGATTTTGGTGCAGGACAAAAACAATCCATTTCCTGTCGTTGGAAGTTGATGGCGAGCATGTTTGGGCTACAATATTGTCAGCAAGAATTAAATTATTTGTCAGCAGAAAACAGGTTGAAAAATGGTAGCAATAAAGCATAGATTCCTTCTTGTCTTGAAAAGGTGGGGTACTTTACCTATATACTCTCCATCAGGTTAAAAATAATTAAGATAAGAAAAGCTCGAAGACGTGTTTAACAGCTAATGGCACGCGACAATGATAACGTCAAGTAGAGTTGATAAGCGCAGGCAAAGCTTCTTACCCAGTACCGTGTTTTAGTGATTTATTGGCTTGGCGATAAGTGGTTTATTGTTTGAGGGCTTTCGACTATATAAAAGGCAGGTTCGATATAATTATTTATTTTTCTACAAGCCTGCACGATTCACCGTTTTCTGGCATACATTTGGGTTCAGAAAAATTTACATTGGTTTTGTTTGATGGTTTTGAAGTCGTTTGAAGTTGAAGAACTTCCAGAAGATATTCTAGCATTCAACCAGCGTCTTTCATCCATCAGGTATTTTCTTTATCTCGTAATTTCTATCTGGAATGATTCCTGGTACACTTAACTTCAGCATAATTCTTTCTATGGCTCTTTACTTGGTCCTGTTAGCTAGGCATTACAGGGAAGAAGCATACGCTAAATATCTGCCTCTTCTGGTCCGGTTAGTAGGGATTTTCGAATCTCTCAAAACTGTTCTCAGCTTTCCAATGGCTGCCTACGTCAAGTTCTACTGATTTCTGATGTTTGGTTCAATTTGCCAAGTGATGTTGAACTAAATAAACATTATTTTTGACATTTTCATACGCTCACGCCATCCAGGCGAATCCTGATATTTCCTGAGGACTTGATTTTTGTTTTTCAAAAGTTCGTAGAAAGTCTTAGAGCAGGAAAACGCTGTCCTACGGACATAAGGAGTAGGAACGCGCCATTCTGCTTATGAAACTAAAGTGAAGCCAAATTTTTGGCAGGTGTTTGGCACCAAGATACAGGTAAAGCATTGAATTGCCATAAGCGCCATTGTCTTGGTGCCAAAATACCTAGAAAAAAACGGCTTCATTTTCCAAATCCAGGTTACTACTCCTCTTTACCTTTACCTGGTCTAAGTAGAAAGTCCTATTTGAGCTGATCTCACTTTCCAATTCGCCTGTACTGTCCGCCCAAGTTAAGAACACCGGTTAAAAAAATGTGAAGAATTTAATAGAAAACATAGTTGTCACGTACACTCACTACAAAAAAATGGGGCGTTTAATAATTGTTATTTGTTGACAATTATTAAACGCCTCATTTTTTTGTAGTGAGTGTACGTGACAACTATGTTTTCTATAAACCTAAATTCTTCACATTCTTTTAACCGGTGTTCTTAACTTGGGCAGACAGTATTTGTGCTTTTGTGTTATGACTATAAAGTACAAGTGGTTTACCACCTGAGTTGTCGTCAAAGTAAAAAGTTTGGGAGAGATTGGAGAGATGATATCTCCTTATTGTTAATGAGAAAATTTTTGGCTTGATTTTCTCTGCTTTTCCATCCATAGACGCGTTTCGACCTATCAGGTCTCATCAGCATGGCTAGGAAAAGCAAAGAAAACCAAACCAAGTTTCGTGCCTGTAGGCAAAATACAAATAGTACAACAAATAGTACAACGATCAAATTTCGACCGTTGTATGTACCCCTGTCTAAATCCAATATGAACATGCAAGGACTAGTACGTATTACGTGGACGGGTTAGTTTGGGTTAGTTTGCATATTTTTGGTTTGTTTCGTTACAGTTCATTTGATATCTACTGGTTATAAGTGTACTGGACTGGTTAATAACAAAGCGCGCGAAGCGCGCTGTTGTTTTTCTAAATTCAATGTAACGCATTGTGCGTTATCCTTTGGATAACGTGGGATTTTTGGGCTCTAAGGATGCTGCCCATTTTTGGATATGTTGTAGAGGATTCAATTCTTAACAACCTTTAAATGGGACGAAATCTTGTAGGTATTACGGTCTTTGAGATATGAGTGTTGAAAGATGAACTTTTTTTGCGACTTTTTGTGTGGAGAGTATACGAGAAACTGGTGTTTATCAGTCAAAATATTGACAGGTCTACATATTTCACGTCACTAATGGCCGTTTCCACCAACTATTTTAGGGAAGCCTTAATGATAAGTATTCCCTAAACTGATAGTTTTCCATGGAGAAATGTCAGTTTAGGGAATACTTATCGTTAAGGCTTCCCTAAAATAGTTGATGGAAACGGCCATAACAAATGTCAACATAGGCTAAGGCCGGAACTGCAGCTGCACTGACGCTAACCTTGACCCCAGTGCGGTCCCGGCCTTAACCTATGTTGACATTAATTTGTAAGTGACGTAAAATATGTGAACCTGTCAATATTTTGACCGATGAACACCTGTGGCACCAGTATCTCGTATACTCTCCACATAAAAAGTCGCAAAAAAGTTCATCTTTCAACGCTCATATCTCAAAGACCGTGATACCTACAAGATTTCTTCCCACTTAAAGGTTGTTCAGAATTAAATCCTTTACAACATATCAAAAAATGGGCAAAATCCATAGAGCCCAAAAATCCCATGTTAGGTGTGCGTTATCCTTTATCTATGACTTTTCGACAGCCTGTCATTAGTGTCAGCAGTTGTTGTTGTTAAAGTTGTCAACTGCATTTGCATATTTTGTTTATCAGAATAAACCTTTTGTAATTGTGTTAAATTAAAGTCTTTAAAACAAAAGCCTCTGGCAAAAGGTTATGGGCCCAGTAACCAGGCAGTCGCGGAAATAGAGTACTTCGCGGAAAATCATTTCAAAGTGGAATTTATTGTTGGTGGCAGTCGAAAACCAGTGTAAAAATGGCATCAAGTAGTAGAACAATTACCGTGAAACCTTTCGTTGGTGCTGAACACAGTAATGGGCTCTTTCACTAATTTTTGAAATTGGCATATTTGGATAAAGCAACTAAAAACAGAATTTTCTGTATTTTTACTTTTGAAAAATTCAAAGTCCTTCTTGAGAAAACAGAAAACAAAGAAATACCTCCAAATAAAAACCCAGAATTTATTTCTATGACGTCGCAGCTCGCAATTTGACCGTGTTGCCACTAATTGTCAACATTGAAAATTTGTAATAGATTTAATTCTGAAATGTTGGCAAAATCTCATGAAAAGTAGTTAAATTAATTAGTTATAGATTCAGGATTTTATAACATTTTTTTTTTAAATTATGCTTAAATACAATTTAATGCAATTTTTTATGTTTAGTTTTATTTATTTATTTTACGCTGCACTACATTTAGTCACAACCGACAACAGCGCATTCGAACCTTTACCTATCTTTACAGAGCGCAAACACAGCCGAGCCCTTCCTCCTTGCAACGACATAAGCGAAATGAAGAATATTTATGTGACGTCGGCGAATCGGCGCGTTTTAAAATAGTTTGAATTTAGGCACTTTTGATTGCCTATGAAAAACTTATTGAACCTTGTAGAACATTTTTTTTTTGGTATATATGCCTAAAATAGTCCCTCCTTTGAGATTTTATACTTAAATTACGTATTTAAATTTTAGTGAAAGAGCCCATTGGGAATTTCGAGTGAAATTACTACTTGAACACCATGATGTTCTGGGAGTCTTGACGGAGGATCCGCCAACAGCAACAGATATAACAGCACTCCGTGCATGGAAGAAGAAAGATTCTGAAAGCACGAAATTTGATCGTTCAATATCTAGCGGACAATGGGCTGGAGATGATTAAGTTGAAAACCACAGGTCAAGAAATTATGGAAACCTTAATAGAACTTAGAAAAGTGGATTGGCTACATACAGGTGCAACTTCAGCATAAGAAATCAGATTGTTTCAAGAATAAGCAAGAAGAGCAAAATTTTAGTGTTTGCGCGCTTAGTTTATTTTGCTTTTTACTTTTTTGTTTCTGTGTACACTTCTGCTGCTTGGTTTAGGGTTCTAGTGATCGTTTCGTGTGCTTCGTTTATGTCATGGGTACCACTTTCAATGTAAATTTACATTAGAAGTGCCGAGTGACTGAAAAGCGGTGAGCGTTTTCGAGGACCAGAATACCGGCCCAAGGTCTCTGCTCTTTGAATCTGTTTCCCAAATTGGAATTTATTGGGGTCGTGTTGGAGTTTCTCTCTGTCAATCTGTTTGTGTATCGACTTTTTGATTTTTCCTATAGAGACACATGCAACTGCTAAAACCATAATTAAGTTCATATCTTTTTCTGATAGGTGATAAGTTACCCTTTTTTCAATGCACTATCCATTGTGCGCTATTGATGACTATTAGGCTGTGACTATATACATTGAAATTTTATTTGAGAAAACCTGATCATGGTAAAATCACGAAAAAAATTATCTTTCAAGAGTATATTTTCCGTCATAAAAAATCCTCCGCAACAAATGTATAAAACGTCAAAAGCAAAAGCAAGATGTAAACCAGATAAGGGGGCGTCAAACAAATCGATGTATCTTTTACCAAAACGTGTGGTGCCTGACGATGCGTGTGTGGTTTTTTGCCACTTTAATTTCAGACTTTTAAGCCATTTTTATGTTTATGGATTTTGGATTTATTTATGGGCGCACAAGTGGCACGTTGCACGTTTTGTTTAATAGGTTTGTTGAAGTGTCCCAGATTAAGTTACGCGCCATCCACGGAGAGAAATTGAACATTTTTCGAAATATAACATGCCTTTATTTGGAAAAAGGCAATTTTACTTTTGAAGAAAAACAAAACTCAGAATATTTCAATACCTATATGGTGTCCGAAATCTACTACTACCTACTGCAGTTACTCGGCGTGGCGTTCAAGATAATCTTTTACAGGATGCATTAAACTCCAGACAAAAAAAAGTCCAAGGGTGTCGAGTCAGGAGAATAAGCCATTCAAAGTCCAAACGATTCTTGCACCGTCTTCGTCGGGAATGGGAACAACAGTATAAATTATCACTCTATTCTAGTTGTGATTCAAAAACTGCAAACATGAAAGGTGGATGTGCCTCTACCAAGTCAAAATACAAATAAGCACATTTTTCAGTTTGAAGCTGGTGCATTACCCTAATGTGGTATGGCTCTTTTTTCATTTTAATTTTCAATTTACGCGACAAGATCATCAATTCTATCTTCATTAGCAGAACTTTCTGCTCTAAGTAATTTGTTAGCCCAAATCTTTGATGGCTTGCCTGCTAGCAACTGTTTTTTTTCCTGAAGTTTTGGATAGAAATCTTTTTGTTACATTTTTTCTCTACTGAAAACATGTTTCTTACCTGCAAACAAAAGCAATTTAAGAAAAACATCAAAAGACCTCTATTGTACAATTTTTCACATTTTGTTTTTAAATTGATCCCTAATCTGAAAAATAATTAGTAGCAAGAATCCAAAAGGTCAAGTTCAGAATTATTTGTTGACGGTCACAATCTTTTCGAAAAAAAAATGATATCCACCTATTAATAAACCACCAAGAAAAATATTCATTTATTAATTAGGTACTAACCTGGGTCAACGATTCATCAACGTCGCAATGGTACTGGGTACTTGTTTAAATAAGGTTTTAATGCTGAATTCGCGTCTTTTTATTACTATATGAAATGGTATAATAAGCGATTTTGTTGCGTTAGTCATTTAAACTCAATGCATTTAAAAAATCTGTAACAGTTGGTAGTTTTGGACAAATTTGCATGAGTAAAGCCCTTATTATATTTGTGTATTTTTCCGTGTATTTCTTCATGTAGTTCAGGATGTCAACATTATTTTGTATTTGATAATGCTGATTTATTTTGTGTTTGAAGTTTTTCGGTTGTCACCCTGAACTAGGTACATGAAGAAATTCACGGAAAAATACACAGATGTAAGACGGACCTTAGTTTTATTTATATTTATCAGTATATTATAATATGTGTTCCCTTCCTCGTCAATCTATTTCAGGCTGTATTTTTTAAAGTTTTCAGTCAAACAATTTGTAAATTTAATATATGCTTCAAACCTTCCTTTCACTCCTCTCCAAATTGCAAATCAATACCTGAAACAATTCACGCGTAAAAAAAATCATTCACATCCTTGTGTCTAAATTTTTGAAAAACTCCCTTCCTCATCAAACTATTTCGCAACTGTTTCAGGCTGTAATTAAAATAAAATTGAACACAAGTTTTTTTTTTTAAAAAACCCTAATGATGTAAACCATGGGCCATGGGTCTTTAATCTAGTGATATCTTTATTTAGTTTGTCGAGTTTATATCTCTGTCCAAAACCAACCTTGTTTCGACCTTTTGCAAAATAAATCAGCTGAGTTGTTTGACTTTGACCAACACAACAAAATGAGAAAGTGCAATATTTACCCTATAACCAGCCCCATAATAAACCATTAAAATTAAATAATATCACCAGGTAAAAATTGTGCCCCATTTTAAAGAGCCTAACCAAATAATTACCTTAAACAGCTGCGGAAAATAAATAACATCATACCATAATTTTTGATAAACAGAGTATTAAAAACTTGGGTGAATTTCAGCGATGCCATTTTTCAGTGACAAAGTGGATTAACATTTTTAAAAAGGGAAGATTTATTGGTCATTTGAGCTGGTGGCATCCCAACATTGAGGGTTGTAAAAAATTGGCGCCACCAAAACCTTCTTCAGTGTTGGGTTTCCTGGTTTGGGTAGAGGTGGGTGGCATATATTGCTTTGACAGGTCTGGGTGTTGACAAGTTTATTTCAGTAACTTATTTTATCCATTTGTAACATGTAACATTATCTTTCTTGTTACGCAAAAAAAAAGGGAAATTGTTCCTTGTAAATAAAATTTCTATCCAATATCACAAAACATGTTGTTACTAATCTTTGGACATTGCAAGCAAATGAAGGAAATTATTTTTTTTTTGATACTAATTAAATTCGAAGTGATTTCGCTTTGTAATGACTCGCAAGCATTTTGAAACAGAGAATCTTTATTATGGTAGAATCAGAGTTATAAATCTTATCTTTCAAATCGTCATCAACTTTTTGCAAAGTGCAATAATGCATTTTGTGTGGTCATTATTAAAGGTATAAAGATCGAGAAGAAAAAATTCCTAAAGTCTGAGTCAACTTTTCAAAGGTTCAATAAAACAATAGGGTTCGACGTTTGCCTTTATTTACGAACCAGAGGAAAAGGTATGTTGGATCGGGCCGGAAACCTCATCATCAGGTAAAGCCTCGTCTTTTACGACACAGGAAATATCGGAAAATAAAAATGGATTGATGGGCTCAAAAATAAGGAATTTAGACGGCGCTGACACTTTGAGTAAATACTTAAACACCAAACACAGAGTCGGACTTAATTTGTTTTTCATTATCAATTGGATATAATCAATTATTGTGTAGACCTACAATAATTCTTCAGTTGTGGCGTTAGGTGACAATAAGTATTAATCAGAGGCTTTTGATATTTAATTTACTCATAAAATATTTAAATTTTGCACTGCTCAGAGATTTGGTAAGCAAATCTGCTACTTGCTCATTTTTTTTGCAAATATTTTAGAGATAAGTCGTTTTTGAAAATACTGTCTCTAATAAAATGATGCTTGCGGCTTTTCAGCCGCTCAGCACTGCTACCTTTGCAAATATTTTGTACCTGACTCTACATCTTAAGTTGTCTCCAGGAAGCGTAGACTTCTGCCGAAGGAAGCTATTTTCCTGGGTGTCAGTTAGCCCACTTCTTCTGGTGACAGTGTTGCCCCCTCGAGGAATTTGAGCCTCTTGCAGAATTGGGCCGGACATTCGCAGAGTAGGTGCTCTGCAAACTCTATTGCATCTGAGCAGAATCTGCAGAGATCGTCTTCTGCTTTGCCCATTAACCTTAAATGGTATTTAACCTCAGGCAGTGTCCTGTGAGCAGTCCTATCACCAATCTGATGTCTGGTCTGCTCATGTTTAGGAGCTGTTCAAAATAAACCTTTTTGACTGTCTGAGTCCCGGAGTGTGCCTCCAATATGATGACAGTTGTCTTTCTCCCATTTGTTGAGTTCTTCCATGATATGGCTTTTCATTAAGCCACAGTAGGGTTCTAGTCCTTGATATGGTGTTGAGGCCCCTTCTTTTGCGAGGCCATCTGCTTCTTCGTTTCCTTCTATGCCTCGATGACCAGGCAGCCACATCAGCTTTACCTGGTTGTGTGTCGCTAGTGTTTTTAGGGGCTGTTTACACTCCCAGACTAGTTTTAACGTGCATTTGAAAGCCCTTAAGACTTATAAGACAGCTTGGCTGTCCGATAGTATGAAGATGTGTTTTCTTTTGAGGCTTTGGTTAAGACACTCTTGAGCACATATATCTATGGCAAGCAGTTCGGCTTGAAATATTGTAAGATGTTTACCTAATGCCTTGGAGAGCTTTTCCAGCTCCTTCCATTAGCTTCGATCCATCTGTGTACCGCAGAGATGCATTGTCTGCTTGTGGTAATTCTTTATTCTTCCATGATTGGCGGTCGCTTATTACCACTGCGAATGGGATCTCTAGGTCCAATCTGACCATCATGTGGTCACTTGGTTTGCTGGCATTCTCCAGTTTGATTAAATGAAGGATGCGCAGATGTCCCCTCAGATCACCAGGCTTGAACTTCTCTGTTTGGAATAGCCTGTGAGCGCTGGTTATTGCCTCCTTTTTCACACATAGGTGAAGTGGGGGCACGTTGAGTAGCGACTCTTGGGCTGCGGTGGGGCAAGTTGACATTGTTCTCGTTATTCCTAGACATATCAATCTTTGTGCCTTTCTTAGCTTGATCTGAGCGGTGATTTGCTGGGTTTTGGGCCACCACACCAATGAGACCATGGGCTTTATTATAGTTTGTTAAATCCAGAATACCATCTTTGGCTTTAGCCTCCATGTTTTGTCAATAAGTTTTCGGCATGACCAGATGGCTGATGTAGCTCGATAGCATGTTTTCTCTGTTTGTTCCAAATGAGTGATCGGTCCAGGGTGACCCCTAAGTAAACTAATTCGATGGAGACCAAGAAGCAACAGAAGGAGCACGGGAAGACCGCAAATGAGATGGAGCGGGGATTGGAACGAGCGGCAGGACTGAACTGGTACCAGGTGACACAAAACCGCGACTACTGACAAAATAAGAGGGAGGCTTTATACCCAAAGGGTAGAAAACAGCTAAATAAAAAAAAAAGTCTCTATATTCAAAGATAGACAAAGTAGTGGTGGACTACCTACTGAAAAGAGTTAAAATGTGGTGTTCGAGATTGGAACAGAAAATTTCAAATCGGAAAAATCCCTCTTGAGAATGTCTTCCATTCTGAGAAAGTTTTCCAGCAAAAAGAAAAATCTTCATCAAAAAGGGAAATAAAGCTAAATGCCTGGTTGTCGAACTTGTAAAGAAAGAGGTAAAAATATTCTTATATTTGGACCAATATAAATAAAGGCTTTCTAATACTGTTGGAAAGTTACACATTAACTTGAGAGCTTCCAATGGATGGTAAGATACATTTTTCCCACAACACAATATAAAATTCGGAAAATCAGCAAATGCAAACTTTCACCAAAAGTGAAAACCTTCAAGAGAAGGATGCAACAGAAGAAATGGAAAAAAAAAAACAAAATTGCTTTAGCTGTGGAAAGCTTCTATCGTTATTTATTCAATTCGAAAAGAGAATTTGAGATAGAAAAGCCAAATAACGATCTGAAATACAATAAATCACCAGAAGAAGATGGAATGAGTGATTTCTCTGAAGCAAATGTTGAATAAAATCATGAAGATTCCAGGAAAAACTAAACTGCTTAGCTTCTTCAACCAAGCCAGGTTATGTAAAAATTCAATCAATGGTACTTACTCGCTGACAAAGTACCAGCTGCACTCATGCGGTTCCTGGGAGTAGTTGCAGGACTGATATAAGACCCATTAGGATCTGCGTAGCTGTAATCTTGGTACCCCATGGCAGAGTACGTTGGGGTTCTTGTAGGTGTAGTCTGGAACGTTGGTACTCTGTTGAAGGCCGGAAGGGAGGCATTTGCAGCTGCCGTTGCTGCTTTGTATTCGTCTGTAAGGAGCCCAGTACTAGCGTTTACACCTTGAAATTTAATTTTCGAAATTAGTAGATAGACATAATTTCTTCTAGCACTATTGAAACTACGTGCTGAATTACAATTTTCTTATCATTCAAGAGTTTAGTTAAATTATTTTTTTTTTAGAAATATTAAACTTGACTTATAAAAAAAATAATTTATTGTATAACGTCATAATCGATCCAAAAATTTTCAAAATCGATTATATGATAATTAGAATGTTCTATATAATTTATTGCTTATGATAACTTGATAAACTACTTTTAAAAAACTTAATTTTATTAATTTTTGTTATAATATTATTAAAGGAAAATCGTTGAAGGAGACCTGGTGACGTAGTTCCTTTCTTTGTTGATCCAATAAAAGTTTACAAATAAAATTAAAGTGCATCCGTGATCCGAAATCAGTATTTTGGCGCCCCATTGACCCGCGAATAAAGTCACATTCGCGACCAATGAGCATTTTGGTTTGCTGATAACCGATTTATTTTTAAAATTATTTTGCATTATAAAAATTTGCAAGACGAATTAAAAAAAAAAAAACAAAATTGATAAAACATTTTTGTGGTGAATATTCCGGACTTCGATGAATAGGTTGCACACAATAGTTCTATTGTGATCTATAAACATTTCCGACAATAGCAATAAATGACAATTATCGATAAGAAAAATGGTAGCTTTATACATATTTTGATAACCGTTGTAAGTTTTTATTCATCAGGTAATTAAAATTTATGTTTTAACACCTTATTTCCGGAAATATATGCAACAATACATTATCAATAGGAAGACAGATATAATATAATATGCACTTAAAGCACTTTATAGTTGCATTTCCATTTAGATAATAGTTTTGTGACTATTTTGAGGATATTGAAAACAATACAACGGATATTTGATTGTAAATATGTGCCTAATTTAATGATAACAGATAGAGAAAAGTTACATCATCCTGTGAGAAATTTTGTGGGCAACTTAGAAAAACTGAAGCTGAATCTGGAACAATATTTCAAGGGGTTGAAAAGTGTTTTCGCAGTCAAGCACTCTTTGACATCAAACAATTTCAAGGATAAGAAACACCCATGAGGTATCAATCAAGAAAAATAGTTGTCCATTTTCCAAATTTGGAAAAACATTTTTAAAAAGAAAAAGGCTGTAAGAAAATTTCATTGAAGGGAACAGGTTACATGCAAAAGGCACCAGGGTTGTTGTTATTATAGGAAAACACCAAAAATATAGGGAAAATAAGAAAGTAGAAATAAATATAAGTACATAAGGAAAATACATAAAGCGAGAATAGCTGAAATACAGGCAAGACTGAGATATACAAAAAACAAAAATACAGGAAAAAAACAAAAATTACTAAAAATAGGATTGTTGATTGAAAGAAAAACGGAAATAGAATGCATATTATCTGTGTGACATAGAAATTGCAACACCCAGTAAATGTAAATATATTTTCTTAATATTCTGGGAAGTAGGATAATTTGAATAACAATCGATGAGATCTTCAAACAAATTTTTTAAAAAATATTCTTAACAATTCAATAGTGAGTTGCGCCTCCACGTAAGTTTTGACATCTGCCTGTAGTAGGTTCTCCCAGGCAAATCTTATCTCATGACGTAGAAATTATACATCCAGTAAAAGATGTAGCAATTGCCTCAGCTCTCTAACTATCCCAGACATGTTCAATGGGCCAGTTACACAAGTACATCATCAAAATATGATAATACACCAGGCACACATTTTAACGTTTCATACATAAAACGCTGGAAAATTTCTGGCGCTGAAATGATGCCAAATGGCAATCGTTTGAATCTATATCTACCCCAACAAGCGATGGTACACATTTTAGAACTTTCATAGTCCCGGCGTATCTGTAAAAAAGCCTGGAAAGCGTCCAATAATGTAAAAAACTTTGCATCATGAAGTTCACTAAATAAAAATGTCCGTTGTTGGTATATTGAAATATTCTCGTTTTAAATATTGATTTAAATGTCTGGGGTCCATGCACACACGAATATCACTATTAGGTTTGGGTGCTATAACAATAGGGTGTACTCAGTCAGTTGGCTTAGTGACTGGGACAAGAATTTTCTGGGAAACCATTAAAATAGGTCTGGTGACATCACGGGCCATGAAAGAAGTTGTTGTTGGAGGAAATTTCTAATAAGTGGTCCTGCATTGTCTTGTTGAAAACTTGGATCTTGCAGTTGCTGAAGATATGGCAACGTAGAAGAGTCCGTCACAGACGTGGAGAAATGCACCAACTTCAATTTTGCATGGAGCGTGACATTGCGCTTACTAGGGGCGTTATGTCTTAGGGTGCCATATCAGTTGGAAGCAGGTCACATTCAGTTTTTTGGGATAGAAACATGAACGCTCAATCCTACAGTAATAATGTATTACAACCTGTCGCGTTGCCATACCTTTAGCCACTGCAAGATTCAATTTTTCAACAAGGCAATGCAAGATCACATACTGCTGCAGTTACTAAAAACTTCCTTCAACAAACTAATGTAACCCTTCTTCCATGGCCCGCAAGGTCACTAGAGCTGAAACTCTGTAACGAATATATAGAGATTGTTATTCTTATCTTCATGGCACTTGCTGTCTTCTTCTCTCTTGTCGAAATTAATAGAAAGGAGATGTCGATAGAGATAGAGAAAATATCTTTATTCGTTAAAGAGTCCCAGCCCTGACTTGTTTTCGATGTGATAGGTAGAAGGCTGAAGCAATTGCCACATCTTCTACTGGATGTGCAACGTCTACGTCATGAGGTAAGATTAATCTAAGAGAACCAACCACAGGCAGATATCGATCATCTGATTCGCAGCATGCCACGAATAGTTACAGAATGTCAAAACTTACGTGGAGGCGCAACTGACTATTGAATTGTTAAGAATTCCTTTCAATAAATTTGTTTGAAAATGTCATCGATTGTTATTCATATTTATCCTAACTACTTCCCAAAATATTATCAAAATATATTTATATTCACTGGGTGTTGCAATTTCTATATGTCATACAGTAGGTATACAGAGTGTTCTTAAATATCATGTACAAACGGAAAAGGGGAATTCTTTGGTTTATTTTATGACTAAAATTTCTAATAAACATAGATCCACAAACGCTTCGTTACCGATCTACAGGGTGTTTAAATTTTAATGTATTCATATTGAAAATGAGCAAGAATATGGCGGTGAGGGGTGTCTTACTTCTAGATTCCTAATGAAAATTAGCAAGAATATGGCTGCGGAACCTCTATTGTCACCACTGTAGGTAAAAAAGGTTTATTGAGTCACTTTAGTTTCATCTAGCTAATTACAGAGATTTGTTTTTTAATTTTTTTCTCGATAAGGGTCGGTGACGAAAAAACCAAAAGGTTTCTAAATAAGGTAGACAAATTATTTTGTTTCTTAGAATCGACCAGGGGCGCACCGCTGAGAAGTTCAGGGGCAGAAAATGGGCCATGACTTCTGAAAAACCCCTGTAGATGCTGGTAAACGTTTGACATGTACAATTATTCAGCTCCCATTGCGTAACCTATATTCCAAATTTGAGCTAAATCCCTCGAAAATTGCAGGAGCTATAAAGAAAAAACTAAAAAATATTGAAATTTCAACACCCTGTAGATCGGTAACCAAGTATTTGCGGACCTATGTTCATAAGAAATTTAGTCATAAAATAAACCAAAGAATCCCCCCTTTCGTTTTTACCTGATATTTAGGAACACCCTGTATATCGAAAAAAACCTAAAATAGGTGCTGCTTTATAAGATAAGAAAAATGCTAGATAAGAAAATACAGTGAATAGAACGGAAATGCAAATACGCGAACACTGAATATCTCCAAATTCAGAAACCACAAAAATTCCAAAAGTACAGAAAATTGAAAACAAAAAGAAGAAATAAAGAACCTACAACACCGCAAGATAGGTACAAAAAAATACGGAAAATACCGAAAAAATATCTCAAGTTATAGGAAAATACCAAAAACACAAACCAAACATTATACAGTACGTTCTAATTAAATTAAAAATACCGTGTGCCAGTGCAAATAAGGGAATTGGAAAAAAAAAACTAATAAGAATTCCAAAAATGCAATTGGTACCACCGCGATCATGTGTTTGGGAATAGACACAGAGAAAAATATACTGAAGATAAAATAAAATTCAAAACATAATTTTGGAAAATATAGAAAGTACAGAATTTACAAAAATAGGAAAACAGTGCATTCATTTTTGTCCATACCTAGGTATACATACTGAATTTTAGGTATCGAACATCTCAATTGAAAAATCAAAAACTCTTCAAGTGAAATTTTATAAAATTAAAAATCCCTTTGGAACCCAATTAGGTACCTAGTTAAGAGTTCTATTTGAAAAAAAAAAAAAAAACATTTTCATTGTAAATTTGACAAAATTGAATCAAAAAAATTAGATAAGTGTGTGCAGGTACTTACCAGTATTTGACCAAATTTGATTTTGACCGTGCATTTCTGGAGACCCGGTATTATAATAGTGCATCGTAGACCCGTTATAACCAGTATTTCTAGCATAAATGGAACTGCAAAATAAAAACCTGGTATAAACAAACTTAAAAATAAAACACAAACATAAACATTAGTTTTTTCAATGGACCATCCAACAATAATCTTAGCGTAGGTAAAAATCAATAGGCAAAAAAAAGTAAACAACTAACTTGCAATGGGAATTATTATTATTATTGTAACTGAAACTTTCCCGCGGACTGTCCATTATTGTACACTTCAAAACACTTAAAAGCAAAAATAATTTTTTTTATTAAAAAAATCGCGATTATTATTGACTAACAACAAAATCACTTGTCGGGTCGCGCCAACCGATAGAGTACCACTCGCTCGCTGGCAATTGCTGATATGCTAGTGACGGTGATTGTGGCACGATTGCGGCGGTGGTACCTTAACTTGACTTTTGCGGAGCGCGCGATTCGTTTGACCCTCTACGGTGACGTTACGAAAGCTTTCGAAGCGTGACAGGTTGATGGTTAAAGGGAGGGAGGTTGGTTCTTTGGTGAATGGTGGGTTACCCTTTTTAATTGTTTTGGTTTAAAAATAATAATCCATGCGGGTTATGGGTGCAAAATGAATGATACTTTTCTTGTGATGATCAACTTTGTGCTAATCAGAAAATGAATCATTGTTATTTTGATTAGTTATATGGTAAAACTTGTAAGAGCAAGAAATCAAGGATTTTCGAGTCATTTTCTCCGTTGTTAAGACGTCAGTTTAGTCTACAATACAATACATACAACGGCATCATCTTCAGCTTGTTGAGCAATATGTGTGCAATATTTTCATGTATTATTTATTTATGGAACCAAAATATGGTACAATTGTCATAATGGGCGATTGGTTTTTGAAGCGACAACACTTCCTTCAGAAGGTTGTCGAACCACAGAAGAAGAAGCCCATGGAGTCACAGTTATCACATAAAGAATTAATAACAAGTTCAGAAAGTTAGCTCAAAGACAGAAAGAGTTTCTGGAAATATGTAAATTTAAAAAAAGGAAACTCTAAATATCTCTAGTGCATGAATCTCAATGGATCCACAGGATATAGCTGACACGTTCAATAGTCATTTTACAGAGGATGGTAGATCTTGGGCAGGTTAAGTTATCTCCACTTAATGTTTTTGCCAGAATTTGCAAATTACAGCAGAGTCTAGGTGTTGGGCCAGATGACATACCTGTTGTTTTCCTAGGAGGCTGCAGTTTCGTTCTGTTTGAAATTTTGTGTTAGGTATATTTTTAATTTGTCATTGTCTACTGCTACATATCCAGCAGCCTGGAAAAAATCCTAGGTTACTCCAGTTTTTAAAAATGGAGAAAAATCAGACATTCAAAAATTATTGCACAATATCAAAGGTCTCCTTGGTAGCCAAAGTTTTTGAAGGTATTGTTGCAGATAAAATCACCCTACATGGTTTTGTGAAGGGAAGATCGACCATCATAACAAATCTTTTAACTCATGTGCAGGCTTTGTTGGAAGCTTTTGGATATAGGTATCAAGTTGATGCAATTTATACTGATTTCTCGAAGGCTTTCGATAAAGTTGAACATAACATTCCCTTAAAAAAGCTGAAGGCTGCTGGCGAACACAATATTTTTATTAGGTGGTTTCAGAGTTCAGGGGTCGTATTTCCGAATATTCTCGCATACGAAATTTGATACGATTGCGAATGTTCTTCATTTGATTTACATTGCTGTCAGTCAAAGGACAATGAAAGAGATGATACATACTCGTGGATCACAGAAGCTGCAAAAAAAACTGTAATATCAGAATTTTTAGGATGCAGAAGTCACCCATAGATGCCACTTTTCCTTGTCAAGACCAATAACATGAGAATTTGGAAAACCACTAGATTCTTGATGTCCTACTTAAGAGGTGAATCGGAATTAGAGTGTTAAAAATACCGAAAGACTGTTCCAAAAAGTCTGTCGTTGAGCAAAGATTGCTCCCAGGGCAGTTGATTTATCCGAATCGGTGTGCATATTATTGGGAGATCGTAGGCAGTAGAATCCAGTAGAGATGGATGGAAATCTACGGGAAACTTGGATTAAGACAGACAGACAATATTCCACACTTCTTATGGGATTTTACGATTCGGTCAATTTTTCTAAAAATTTGATATGATGCTCCTCTCAACATTCTGATTAGAAGTGTTCATAACCACAACTTGATCCTATGACTAGTTTTGAAGATACAGGTAGTTTAATGTTCAAGAAATGCACTTATTTTTATATGTCTTTGGGAGGTTATGATGACAAACTGAAAAATAGCAGAGCAGGACTGAAGCATATTTTTATACTTTGAATAAGGTACTTTCAATACCGTTGAAATGAAACAATAATCTTGCATCTTTCGTTTTAAATGCCGAGGAGAATATTTTCCATGGACGGGGCATTTTTCAATCCAAATGGCATACGTACGAATTCATAATGGCCATTTTTACAGAAAAAGCGAAACATCCTTGGAGTCTACTTCTATTTGATGAAAACCTGAGGCTAGGTCAAGAGTGGTAAAATATTGACATTTTCCCAATTGATTCAGAAGATCGAAAATACTAGGCAGCGGGTATTTGTCGTCTACAGTAAGTTTGTTGACTTTACGGTAGTCGATTAGCGCCATTTGGGTTTGCCAGGAGCGTCAAGTTTCTTAGGACCGACCCAGACGGGAGAAAGCCATGAAGATACAGAATGGCGAATTATGCTTGGTCTAGCATTTTGGTTTCATGTTTTTTCAGCAGAGCATAACATAACATGGTATAAGGTCAAAAGTAGTCGATGTTATAGAGTGTATTTCAAAGCTCAAATGGATATGGGCAGGATATGTCGCACGACTGACGGGTGGGAGATGGACCAAAATAATTCTCGTGAAAGACGCAGCCCTGACTGACCTTGCACTCGCTGGTCAGACGATATCACAAAAATAGAGAAGAATGGAAACAACCTTGAGGTGTCCATAATTTCTTCATCAGAATAAGAATCTATCAAGCTTTAGGAATCAGAATCTGACTCATTGAAGCGAATGATGATAGGAGGAATGTTTTCGAAGCTAGTGTTTCCTATTAATTTCTCTCACTCCTCGTGTATCAAAGTTTCACAATGCCTAACAGAATTTTGCCACATGTCTGGAGTATAGGCAGACAAAGCCTTTTTCCATAAACTTACAAATCTGTTTTTCGATGAAGCCTCCTCGTTTATGTGCTTGTTGTAAAAGTTCTTGTAAACCCCCATGGTATCTCAATAGGATTATATTGACCATGGTATGGAGGTAATCTCAAAACTTCATGGCCATGTCTACTGAGAATCTCGTCAATCACATATTTTTTGTTCAAAATATAAAAATATGCTTCAGTCCTGCTCTGCTATTTTTCAATTGGGAAAATGTCAATATTTTACCACCCTTGACAAGCATCAGGTTTCCACCAAATAAAAGTAGACCCCAAGGATGTTTCGAAAACCGCTTTTTCCATAGAAAATGGTCATCACGAATTCGTATGTATGCCATTTGGATTGAAAAATGCCCCGTCCATGGAAAATATTCTCCTCGGCATTCAAAACGAAAGATACAAGATTATTGTTTCATTTCAATGGCATTAAGTGTCGGTACTTTTGTTCTCAGTTTTCGAATTTGACAGCCGTTAAAAATAATCAGGTGTTTGAATGTGCTCTAATCACATCATATTTATAGACCTTGGCCCATGCAAAACCTTGCTAAATTTAACGACGTGTCAAATTCGTTAATCGAGAGCAAAAGTATCGGCCCTAAAAGTACCTTATTGAAAGTATAAAAATATGCTTCAGTCCTGCTCTGCTATTTTTCAATTGGGAAAATGTCAATATTTTACCACCCTTGACAAGCCTCAGGTTTTCACCAAATAGAAGTAGACCCCAAGGATGTTTCGAAAACCGCTTTTTCCATAGAAAATTGTCATTACGAATTCGTACGTGTGCCATTTGGATTGAAAAATGCCCCGTCCATGAAAAATATCCTCCTCGGCATTCAAAACGAAAGATACAAGATTATTGTTTCATTTCAACGATATTAAAAGTACCTTATTCAAAGTATAAAAATATGCTTCAGTCCTGCTCTGCTATTTTTCAATTGGGAAAATATCAATATTTTACCACCCTTGACAAGCCTCAGGTTTCCACCAAATAAAAGTAGACCCCAAGGATGTTTCGAAAACCGCTTTTTCCATAGAAAATGGTCATTACGAATTCGTACGTATGCCATTTGGATTGAAAAATGCCCCGTCCATGGAAAATATTCTCCTCGGCATTCAAAACGAAAGATACAAGATTATTGTTTCATTTCAACGGCATTAAAAGTACCTTATTGAAAGTATAAAAATATGCTTCAGTCCTGCTCTGCTATTTTTCAGTTTGTCATCATAACCTCCCAGAGACATATCAGAATGTTACCAACTTATGCAGGTAATAAATAAAATGAAATTCGTATCAACTACCAACTGAAAGGTGATAAATCTACCTTTACCTTTGGACTTCGGATTGTGAGGAGATTATATATGCATTTACATCTACCTGTCACCTAATTATATACCAGAATTGACAGGTATCCCCACGCTCAGGTAGATGTAAATGCATATAAAATGTGTGCATTTCTTGGACATTAATTCGCAGACATGCATTCTTTGTCAGCGCTGACGTCAACGGCTTCTTCTCGCTTGATTTTTACTCTACCTGTATCTCAAAAACTAGTCATAGGATCAAGTTGTGGCTATGAATACTTTTAATCAGAATTTTGAGAGGAGCATCATATCAAATTTTCAGGAAAATTGACCGAATCCTAAAATCTCATGTGAGGTGTGCGGGGTCTTTTAGCAACATTCCATGAAACAGTGGACAAAACACTCGAGTGAACACATAGACAGAATGTATGACAGGAAATGCGAAATCAAAGCGGGATTTATGAACAAATTCAGTTTGGTTCGGTTCACCATCACATGGAGTTTGTCCAAAGGCTTTCAAAAGATTCCTGAGTCTTGAATCTTGAATATGGC